TGATCTCAGTGGGCAGGGCAAAAAATACCAGTTACAGAGGCTTACAGAAAATAATAATAATAATAATAATAATAATAATAATAATAATAATAATAATAATTTTATTGTTATACCCTGCCGATCTGGCTTGGTTTCACCATCCACTGGGCGGCTTCCAGCAAATTATAAAAAATAATAATTTTATTATTATAAAAAATAAATAATAATAACAAAATATCAAACACTAAAAACTTCAGATGTTTTCTAAAAGTTGTACAGTGGTACCTCAGGTTAAGAACTTAATTCATTCCAGAGGTTGTTATAGGAGTAGCGTTGTTATTCCGGGAGGATTGCTCTTTCAGAGCTCTGCCATCACCGGCGATCTCCGGCATTGAATGTGTTGGTCTCGTGTGGGGCACCAAGGAGAGCTTGGCTGTCTGGCTGGTGTACCGACCACCCAGCACACCTGCAGACCTGCTGGAGGTGGTGGCGAGCTGGGCCTTGGAGTTCCCAAACCTACTGGTTTTGGGAGACTTCAACGTCCATGCCGATGCCGCTCCCTCCTCACAGGCTCTGGACCTAGTGACTTCCATGGCAACACTAGGGCTCTCCCAGTTTGTTTTGGGCCCCACTCATCAAGCAGGCCACACGCTGGATCTGATCTTTGGGGCTGGCATAGATGTGATCATGCTCCCCACTGTGGAAGTGCCATGGTCTGATCACTACGCTCTGAAAGCCAAGCTTGACTTCCCGCTCCTCCCCGGCTCGGGTGGCGAACCTATTTGGGCTCGTCCGCGAAAACTGATGGATCCTGATAGATTCTGACAAGCCTTGCAGAACCCTGCTCCTCCTGGCGACTCAGTAGATAACCTTGTTGAGGACTGGAATACCCGGCTCTTGGCAGCCATTGATGAGATCGCGCCTAAGCGCCCTCTGCGACCCCGTCGAAACCGGGCCTCTTGGTTTACTGAGGAGCTCCGGAAAATGAAGCGGGATCTCAGACGGCTAGAGCGAGTATGGCGACGGACTCGTGACGGAGCCTCAAGAACATCTTATAGGACGCTTATGAAAGCCTATGAGATGGCTATGAAAGCTGCTAAGAAATCTTACTTTGCAGCTTCCATTGCATCCGCTAGCTCTCGCCCGGCACAACTTTTTAGAATAATTAGGTCAATAACGTCCTTAGGAGGTCAACCAAATTTAAGCACAAATTCGACCCACAGCTGTGAGGCATTCGCAAGCTTTTTTACGGAGAAAGTCCTGTTGCTCCGCCATGACCTCCCTGCCAATTTAGATACAGTGACTGAACTGGAGGCCCCTCGACTGACTTCAGGTCCAGTGTTGGACCATTTCGATCGGATACTCCCTACTGATGTGGATAGATTCCTCCAAGTTGGTAGGCCCATCACCTGCCTCCTTGATCCGTGCCCGTCTTGGCTGATTAGGGAGTGTCCAGATGTTGCGCGGACCCCCCTGGTTGAAATTATCAATTTGTCCCTTGACATGGGGACATTCCCAGGGGAACTGAAGGAAGCAGTGGTGTGTCCACTCTTAAAGAAAACTTCATTAGATCCCTTAGACCTATCCAATTACCGCCCAGTTTCAAATCTTCCATACCTGGGTAAGGTAATTGAGAAAGCGGTTGCTGAACAGCTTGGTAGGTTTCTGGAGGAAACATCGGCATTAGATCCATTTCAGTCCGGTTTCCGTCCTGGTTTTGGGACGGAGACGGCTCTGGTTGCCCTAACAGATGATCTCTGTAGACAACTGGATCGAGGCGGGTCAGGACTGCTGATCCTTTTAGATTTGTCAGCAGCCTTTGACATGGTCGATCATGATCTTCTGGACCACCGCCTCGCAGACGTGGGGATACAGGGCATAGCCCGTAACTGGTTGTGCTCTTTTATCTCTGGTCGGGGACAGAGGGTGGCACTAGGGAGGGAAATGTCGTCGCGCCACTCCTTGGTGTGTGGAGTGCCGCAGGGCGCAATTCTCTCCCCGATGCTTTTTAACATCTTTATGCGCCCCCTTGCCCAGATTATCCGGAGCTTTGGGCTGGGCTCTCACCAATATGCTGATGACACTCAGCTCTATCTGCTGATGGATGGCCACACCGACTCGGCCCCAAACACACTGAAGCTGTGGCTGGATGGTTTCGTGGGAGCCGATTGAAACTAAATCCTTCAAAGACAGAGGTCCTATGGCTAGGTCAGGGATGGCATGGGGATGAGGAACCAACTCCTTTCTCTTGCGGGGGCCCAATTAGTGCCATTGCCTTCCGTTAAGAGTTTGGGTGTAATCCTTGACGCCTCCCTTTCCATGGAGGCGCAAGTTACAGCAACAGCCAAGGCGACATTTTTCCACCTTCACTGCATCAAGCACTTGGTCCCCTACCTTTCCCGCCCCGACCTGGCCACAGTGATCCATGCGACGGTCATCTCCAGGCTTGACTACTGTAATTCGCTCTACGCGGGGCTGCCCTTGAAGCTGTCCCAGAAACTCCAGCAGGTACAGAATGCTGCAGCGAGGCTCCTCACGAGGTCTCTGCCATGGGAGCATATTCACTCAGTGCTTTTCAAACTGCACTGGCTCCCGGTGGAGTACAGGGTCAGATTTAAGGTGCTGCCTTTGACCTTTAAAGCCCTTCACGGCCTAGGACCCTCGTACCTACGGGACCGCCTCTCCTGGTATGCCCCACGGAGAGCCTCAAGGTCCATAAATAACAACACCCTAGTGGTCCCAGGCCCTAAGGAAGTTAGATTGGCTTCAACCAGAGCCAGGGCCTTTTCAACTCTGGCTCCGGCCTGGTGGAACGCTCTGCCTCATGAGACCAGGGCCCTGCAGGATCTGAATTTCTTTCCGCAGGGCCTGTAAGACAGAGTTGTTCCGCCTGGCCTTTGGCTTGGAGCCAATTTGATTCCCTCCCTCCCTCTCTTTCTTTTTCTTTTCCTTCTCCTCCTGCGATGAGGCTACATTTTAATATTTTAATGTTCCATTATTTTAATGTTGTATTTTATTTTTGTTTTTAAGTTGTAATCATTCATCTTGTTTTTATTATTGCTTGTAAGCCGCTCTGAGCCCGGCCTTGGCTGGGGAGGGCGGGGTATAAATAAAAAATTATTATTATTATTATTAACCTGAAATGATTCTTAACCTGAGGCACGCTTTTGCTAATGGGGCCTCCTGCTGCTGCTGCTGCGCCGCTGGCATGCAATTTCTGTTCTTATCCTGGAGCAAAGTTCTTAACCTAGAACAACCACTTCCTGGTTAGTGGAGTTTGTAACCTGAAGCATCTGTAACCTGAAGTGTCTGTAACCCAAGGTACCACTGTATAATTCTTTATCTCCCCAATATCTGATGGGAGGGCGCCACTGCCAAGAAGGCCATTCCTTTTTAAGCCCAACTATAGTTTCTTTGCAATGTATCCCTGACAGTTAACTTAGGTTGCGGCTAGCCTTGCATTGCAAGTCTTAGCTTTAAGAGGTGGCATTTGCCCTACGTTTAAATTGATGAAGATGTTGCCTTCCAAGCATTCGGGGCTGGACCATGACATGCTGCTGTCTGAGGCTGAACAGCAAATGCTAGCCCTCCCCACATGGCACATGCAAGTCTTGCTATCTGAACCCAATGCATTCTCAGGAAATAATTCGGTAGGCGAGCGTTCACATAACAAGTCAACGATTTCCATTGAGTCCTATGGGAAATTTTCCAATGCGGTCCCGGCCATGGAATTTTGACCCCAAAATGATAAAAAACAAACCCCCCAGAAAATGCTCTGAAACCACATATAAGGAGAGAGGAAATGCTCCCTTATTTGTCCACTCTCTCCAGCCCACTGCCCCCACCATGGTGTCTGGCAAAACAGCTGCCGCAAACCAGCAAAACATCAAAACCTAAGGCTGGTTTAAGGCTGCTCATTTGTTTATTGTACTACATGCAGGTCCAGCTGTTTGGATATCTGAATCTGCACTGTGTATAGCGAGGTTAGGGTACTGATTATTCATGTTTGGATAAGTGAATTTTTGCATAACTGGCATTTGGATAGCAGGACCTGCATGTAATATAAGGGGATTTTTGCCAGTTGAAAAAAGAAGAATACCAACCTTAGTCTTCCAAACTCTTATTTTCTGCACCTGGAGAACACCAGTCTTTTGAGAAGCTCGAAAACTGAGACAGCTCCTGGAGACCTTGACTATAGCGGTTTGCAGGGAAAAACCTTTTTATTTGGAGGCTGCTGTGGCCTCAGTGTTGCCCCTGCCTGACTCCTGGAATTATCAAGGGAAGTAATAGTGCTACATGTCAGAACTGTTGCTTCACAGGTAAGCTGCTTTGGTCCTCTTTCTTTCAGTGGTGCATTTCCTCCTTTGGGGCAATGCATAAGGGGCACCGTGCCTCTTAACACCCAGTGATAGTGTGAAAGTGGGATTAAATCACAAGACATCACAGGCACTAGCCAATAGACTCCCTCCATGGTCAGTGTTTTACCGGGTTGTTATGTACTGAGTTGAATAGGATCCAAAATGCAGCAGTCTAATGGGTCCTAGAACAATAGGATCCAAAATGCAGCAATCTGATTGCTCCTAGAACAATAGGATTCAGAATGCAGCAGTCTGATTGGTCCTAGAACAATGCAGCAGTATGATTGGTCTGCAGGAGCCACCCAATCCAGCTCCAGATGGAAGTGAATCCACAACCTGATTGGCCTACAGGAGAATCCCAGAATTAGCCAATCACGTGCAGCCCATTGTGTGAATAATGTATATAAAGCAGATACTTTGGGGAAACTTTCATTCCTCCTCACCACTATGAGCTGAATAAAGAGCATGAAATCCATGCTCGACTCTGAGTATATTTCATGGGTCCTTGCAGATTACCAAAACTTACTCCAGTACAGAAAACAGTGCAGTTGTACTGAATGCAGTGAGAACATTTTTCATACCATCACTAAAGCTCCAAAAATGTTCACGTTTCTTCAGTCCATCTTCTGCAGTGTAGATATGCCAAAAAGGAGGCAAACCAAATGAGGGGTGAAGCAAGGCACTTTATTTATCATGTCGGGTTTTTTGTTTTTTGTTTATCTCGGTCATTCTCTATGGAGACGTGTTTCTCCTCCCTGCTTTTTCGACCCATACAACCATCTTGCAAGGTAGGTCAGGCTGAGAGATGGTGGCTGAACCCATGTCACCGGCAGGCAAACATCTGAACTTGGGTCTCCCCAGACAAAGTCCAACACTCTGTTTATATCGCATTATACTTGCAGGGGAAATCATCACAACGAGTTAGCACTGAAAATAGCCTTTTTAATCTCAAGAGTGGATAAGTCAAGGTCTAGTAAGATATGCAGGACAACTATAGTTTGCACAAGCAGGTCAGCCCCTGGCTTCCAGTTGAATTGTGTTATGTCATGGCAAGCCATGGTTTGTTCATGGGAACTGGGGTAAACCGGAAGCCCACTGATGTAAGTCAAACCATGGTCCCGCCATTACATTTGCACTGAGACAAGCAAGGCACTTTCCATCATTGTGTCCTACACCATCGTGATACCCAGAATATGGCTATACTTAACCCAGAGAAATATCCCACGTCTGAGATTTCATGATAGGATAGCAGCCATGCTCTTATTGGCAGTTCTTCTGGTCCCGGTGGCAGAGTTGGGCCCCCAGACTTAGTAGGTAGATGTTTTGTGACTCAATATTTGTAGTACAGCTAGGTGGAAGAAAACAGGAGAGGGGAGAGAGAGAGAGAGAGATTTTAGCTCCTAAAATACAAAACACCTCAGGTCTTGATAGGAATCCAATTCCTCATGCTTCTCTGGTCATCAGATCATTTGACGAGCAGAGAGGAGTGGGGAAAAACCCTCCTCAGCTAGTCTGCACAGCTCAAACACCTATTTTCTGGTCCTTGTTTCTTAAAGTCCCCCCATTCCCCAGACATGCTGCAAAACAAATTATGCATTTCCTGGGCAAGCAGCAGGTCCAGGAGAATTAAATTATCAGCCTGAGTGGGAGCAAATTCTGGATTTCATCTCTTAATTTGGTGTTATGAGTTCACATGGTGGGGAGTTTTCTGAGCTCTCTCTCCCCACCCCCATTTTACCACTGGAAAATTAGAATTTTCTCTTTTAGGATTATAGCTGAACTGCTGTTTTGTTTTTGTTTTTGCTAGCTTTTGAAATATTGTTTCAGCTGCCCCTTTCTTTACTCCTTCCAGTATAAATATAGATATGACAATCTACATATTTGGCAATCCCAATTCCTCCTCACTGCAAAGACGTGTAAGACTCAGATCCTCTCACCTGCTCTTGATTCCTCCATTCTCTGCAGCGTAAGAAAGAAACTCAGAGTGTGAAACTCTGAGCAATGTCTGGCAAATGTACACACCCAATAAATAAATAAAAACTAACACGTGAAAGAAAGGAGTTTGTATAAGCCCATCGGTTCTCTGAGATCCCTGAGCTAGGGCCAGACTTAGTCAATTTTAAATTCAGTTCTCTGAATTTCTGCAGCAATCTGAATTTTTCTGTTTTAAAGAAAACCTCATGAAAACCATCCAGGTTTTTAGTGCAATTTTTCACAACTAAATATATTGTTGTGTGCACTTTGGGCTAATGTACACAATTTTGCAAACACTCCCCCCCCCAATACAGTGGTACCTTGGTTCTCAAACACCTTAGTACTCAAACACTGCAAACCCAGAAGTAAGTGTTCCATTTTGAGTATTACGCTTCCGATTTGAGTGCCACACTTCCGTTTTGAATGTTACGCTGAGGTCTGTTTTCGTTATTAATTTTCCGTTTTTGCTGCTCTTTTTGTTTTGTTTTTGTGACTGTGGAACCCAGTTCAGCTACTCATGTATTGATTGATTGATTGATTGATTGATTGATTGTGTGACTGCAGTACATTGTTTATCGCTTTCATTTAATGGAACAATGGTCTCGTTAGAAAGTAAAATTCATGTTAAATTGCTGTTTTAGGGGTTGTTTTAAAAAGTCTGGAATGGACCAATCCATTTTGCATTACTTTCTATGGGATAGTGGACCTTGGTTTTGGCATGCTTTGGTTTTGGAACACACCTCCAGAACGCATTAAGTTTGAGAACCAAGGTACCACTGGAAAGTGAATTTTGTACCTTCCTTTCACTAATATAGTCGTTTTGATGCACCTTCTCCCTTAACATATGCATATATATTTTTGGCAAACATTGGTTGTAGAACTGCAACACAAAATTTGGAGCAGTGCGAATTTTGAAGGATGGCTGGGTTTCCATTCTCATATTGGTTTGGAAAGTGTGATATTGGTAGTTTTGCCTTGGATGTGAACTGAATCAAATTTATCCCCTGTCCCAACTTGCAGGGAGGTTTTCTTTAAATAAAAAAAGGGAGGGATTCATCCAAAAATGGTATTGTTCCCTTGCAGTCTGGACCAGAACCATGGGGGAATGATTAATGGACTTCAATGTCTGTACACTAATGTGCAAAGCATGGGAAATAAACAAGATGAGCTTGAGTTCTTGGTACAGCAAACTAAATATGACATAATAGGCATCACTGAAACCTGGTGGGATAAGTCCCATGATTGGAATGTAATAATGGAGGGATACAATCTATTTCAGAGAAACAGACCAGACAAGAAAGGAGGAGGAGTGGCATTATATGTCAGGGATGTGTATACCTGTGAAGAGATCCAAGATTTAGAACCTTCAAAGCCAAAGTGAGAGCATTTGGGTCAAAATTAAGGGAGAGAAGAATAACAGTGACCTCCTTGTGGGAGTTTACTATAGATCCCCAAGCCAAACGGAGGACATAGATGATGCCTTCCTGGAACAGATGGCCAAGCATGCAAAAGGAAGGGAGATAGTAGTAATGGGGGACTTCAATTACCCGGATATTTGTTGGATGTCAAACTCAGCCAAGAGCATAAGGTCAAACAGATTCCTCACTGGCCTTGCAGACAACTTCATTGTCCAGAAAGTGGGACAAGCAACAAGAGGAACAGCCATTTTAGATCTGGTCCTAACCAATGCTGATGACCTGGTTAGTGGGGTAGAAGTGGAAGGATCATTAGGCACGAGTGATCATGCTCTTCTGAAGTTTACTATACAGCAGAAAGGAGCAGCCAAGCATACTAGGACTCAATTTCTTGACTTTAAGAAAGCCAACTTCATAAAACTTAGGGAAGTGCTGGGTGAGATCCCATGGACAGTAATACTAAAAGGAAAGGGAGTTCATGATGGCTGGGAGTTTGTTAAGAGGGAGATAGTAAAAGCACAACTTCAGGCAATACCAATGAGACGGAAACATGGAAGGTGCCTAAAGATGCCAGGGTGGCTATCTAAAGAACTTTTAACTGAGTTAAGATTAAAAAGGATGTGTACAAAAATGGAAAAGGGGGAAACCACCAAAGAGGAATTCAAACAAATAGCCAGCACGTGTAGACACAAAGTCAGAAAAGCTAAAGCACAGAATGAACTCAGGCTTGCTAGAGAGGTTAAAAGCAACAAAAAAGGCTTTTATGGGTATGTCCGTAGCAAAAGGAAGAACAAAGAAACAGTGGGGTCACTCAGAGGAGAAGATGGTGAAATGCAAACAGGGGACACAGAAAGGGCTGAACTCCTCAATGCCTTCTTTGCCTCAGTCTTCTCCGATGAAGAAAACAATGCCCAACCTGAAGAATTTGGAGCAAGTGATTCAGCAAAGGAAACACAGCCCAGAATAACTAAGGAGATAGTACAAGAATACTTGACTAGTTTAGATGTATTCAAGTCTCCAGGGCCAGATGAACTGCATCCAAGAGTATTAAAAGAACTGGCAGATGTGATCTCAGAACCTCTGGCAGACATCTTTGAGAATTCCTGGAGAACAGGCGAAGTCCCGGCAGACTGGAGGAGGGCAAATGTTGTCCCTATTTTCAAAAAGGGGGATAGAGAGGACCCAAATAATTACCGCCCAGTCAGTCTGACATCAATACCAGGGAAGATTCTGGAGCAGATCATTAAGCAAACAGTCTGTGAGCACCTAGAAAGGAATGCTGTGATCACCAATAGTCAGCATGGATTTCTGAAAAATAAGTCATGTCAGACTAACCTGATCTCGTTTTTGACAGAATTACAAGCCTGGTAGATGAAGGGAATGCAGTGGATGTAGCCTACCTTGATTTCAGCAAGGCATTTGATAAGGTGCCCCATGATATTCTTGTAAAGAAGCTGGTAAAATGCGGTCTTGACTATGCTACCACTCAGTGGATTTGTAACTGGCTGACTGACCGAACCCAAAGGGTGCTCATCAATGGTTCCTCTTCATCCTGGAGAAGAGTGACTAGTGGGGTGCCACAGGGTTCTGTCTTGGGCCCGGTCTTATTCAACATCTTTATCAACGACTTGGATGATGGACTCAAGGGCATCCTGATCAAATTTGCAGATGACACCAAACTGGGAGGGGTGGCTAACACCCCAGAGGACAGGATCACACTTCAAAACGACCTTGACAGATTAGAGAACTGGGCCAAAACAAACAAGATGAATTTTAACAGGGAGAAATGTAAAGTATTGCACTTGGGCAAAAAAAAAGGAGAGGCACAAATACAAGATGGGTGACACCTGGCTTGAGAGCAGTACATGTGAAAAGGATCTAGGAGTCTTGGTTGACCACATACTTGACATGAGCCAACAGTGTGACGCGGCAGCTAAAAAAGCCAATGCAATTCTGGGCTGCATCAATAGGAGTATAGCATCTAGATCAAGGGAAGTAATAGTGCCACTGTATTCTGCTCTGGTCAGACTTCACCTGGAGTACTGTGTCCAGTTCTGGGCAACACAGTTCAAGAAGGACACTGACAAACTGGAACGTGTCCAGAGGAGGGCAACCAAAATGGTCAAAGGCCTGGAAACGATGCCTTATGAGGAACGGCTAAGGGAGCTGGGCATGTTTAGCCTGGAGAAGAGGAGGTTAAGGGGTGATATGATAGCCATGTTCAAATATATAAAAGGATGTCACATAGAGGAGGGAGAAAGGTTGTTTTCTGCTGCTCCAGAGAAGCGGACACGGAGCAATGGATCCAAACTACAAGAAAGAAGATTCCACCTAAACATTAGGAAGAACTTCCTGACAGTAAGAGCTGTTTGACAGTGGAATTTGCTGCCAAGGAGTGTGGTGGAGTCTCCTTCTTTGGAGGTCTTTAAGCAGAGGCTTGACAACCATATGTCAGGAGTGCTCTGATGGTGTTTCCTGCTTGGCAGGGGGTTGGACTCGACGGCCCTTGTGGTCTCTTCCAACTCTATGATTCACCCAGAATGTCTACCATCTGATTCTCCTCCATTTCTAGGCTCAACTCTAGCCTTTCCCCCTCTCATAATTAAGAAGTGACAAGGCTAAGGCCACACACACCTGCAGATGTTTGGGGCCCATGTGCAAAGCTCGACTCACCTGTAATGAGGTGCATAGGAACGGAAGCCCAGCCCAAGCCATAGGACGAACCGAATGCGAGTGAATAATTGGTGTAAGGTTGCGAGTGCCTCTGCACGTATGTAAATATTGCCATACCAATCAAGATTAAGAGAGCTGGGGGCAAAAAAAGGAGATTTTAAAAATGAGAATATATAAATTAAAAACAAAACAACATAATTTCATAGGAAGAAAATAATATAAAACACTAACATACAAAAAAAAACAACCCAACCCCAACACACATACCCAATAGTCACAGCTCACAGTCCATCAAAGGCCTGGAAATAAAGGTAAGAATTTACCTGAAGAAGATTCTGGCGAGGGGGGTGTAAATAAAACAACAACAACAACTTATGCCCCGCCCATCTGGCTGGGCCTCCCCAGCCACTCTGGGCAGTTTCCAACAGAATATTAAAAACACAATAAAACATCAAACATTGAAAAGTTCCCTAAACAGGGCTGCCTTCAGATGTTTTCTAAAAGTCAGGTAGTTGTTTATTTCCTTGACATCTGATGGGAGGGCATTCCACAGGGCGGGCGCCACTACCAAGAAGGCCCTCTGCCTGGTGTAGCCCGAACTAGCACACACCAGGGCAAGCTGGGATGGGGAAGGTGAGGTTGGTGCAGGAAGCATTTCTGGGGTGACAGAGGATGACGAAGAGATGGAGGGCAGTGCACAGGAACCAGAACAACAGAGGACATCACCAGAGCCAGAGGGGACCCTGTCTCCGCAAACATGGCAGGCTCTGAGGCATAGGGAGCAGCGAATGGGGCACTCCAGGAGGCTGAGGCAGGCAAGGGCCCACAGCCCAGCTCCCTAGCTGGCCAGGTGGGGCTCGCTAGCTCTGGGAGGAGATGGGCGATTCCTCAGCTGGCTTAGGCTTGGAACAGGTGAGGATCCCATGCCTTGCCAAACCCAAATGCCGCAGTCAGCATGCAAGGCATAAAATGGCAGCAGAGCTGAGGTGCTGTGTCTGCTCAACTGTCCATTGTTGATGGACCACAGCTTGGGTGCTCCAGGATCTCTGTGGGACTGTGCTTCGGTTTGGATTATGGATCTGTGAGGACTGGGGATTTGATATATTTGCCACCAAGTAGGCCAGGGTTTCAGGACAGGAGTCTTCATTCTTGGGTCCCCAGGTATTGTTAGCCTACAACAAGTCCTGTCCTACCCAGGCAGCTTTGTCAATGGTCAACGATGGTGGGAGTTGTTGTCATCTAGGGGCTCAAGGTTGAAGAATCCTGACTAGCTAGCAGCAGCTCTTTGGGCTTCCCAGGAAAGGAGGCTTCTTTCTCAACTCTACTGGAGATGGTGGGGATTGAACCTGGAGCTTCTGTATGCAAAGCAGGTGCTCTACCACTGAGCCACATGGGCCCTTCTGGGATAAGAACCCGCATTGGGGTTACCTGAAACGAGGCTGAAGGTGACGGCGGCTCTCAGCAGGGATATGTTGAATAGCAGGTCACGTTCAAACGAGATGCAGACACACAGCAGAGAAAAGAAGCTGCAGAAACATGCAATCACCAGGAAGGCTCGGGTGAAGTGGATATGTATGGCTGTGATTCAGAAAAGGAAGCATTAGGAAGGGCAAGGATTCTGGGTAGAGTGACTGGGTGGTCGCCGACAAAGTAGTGCCACCGAAATCAGTGCACCTGAGTTAGTCATGTCCATGAATTTTAGTGGGTCTACTCAGAGTAGGCTAGCAGTTGACGCAACCCATTCTTGCTCCCGGCTTAAAAAAGAAAGTTAGTGTAAGAATTTAAGAGGAGTCTTGTTGGATCACACCAATGGCCTATATAGTCCAGCATCCTCTTTGCCACAGTCCCTATGGACACTGGCGGAGGAATGGGGGTACATTGGATGCAATCTGCCCCGGGTGTCATCCCTGAGGGGGGTGACATCGCCCCCCCGCCCCCCTGGGATGCTCGCCCTGCCACCGCGGGTGGCTAGTGTTAGAATTCTTTTCCCGTGCTGCAGTCATGGGATTGTTTTTATCACATGACTGTGTATGTTTTCATTCCACATTGTGGGAAGTCACGGAGACAGGATTTTTGTATTACTGTGATTCCGTGATGTAGGACGTTTGTCCTTTGTTCTTTCTTTTTGCTGTCTGATGCTGAAGAGGAAGGAGCTGAGTTACGATGCTCTGAGTGTGTATATGTATATAAACGTAGTTTAGCCAAAAGCTGCGCTACTGAGTCTGTATGCTGACTGCCTATACTCTGCTGATCCTGAAGTGTGCTGATGCCTCTAAGGTAACAGTCGCTGTGATGTTGGGGCTGGAGAAAGATTTTAAATCTCCCGAACGAATGACCAGGAGGGAGAGAACATGCCAGTCAGTGTAGGACCGCCCTGGGGTGTCATCCCTGAGGGGATGTCAACCCTGAGGGAGGTGACATAGTCTACTCTGAGTAGGCTAGCGGTCGACGCAACCCATTCTTGCTTAAAGAAGAAAGTTAAAGTAAGAATTTAAGAGAAGTCTTGTTGCTTCAAACCTATCTAGAGGGCCATTGCACTGTATAGCATCTCCCCCACCCCCTGGGATGCTCGCCCCGCCCCCGTGGGTGGCTAGCCCTGCCCCCGGGTGCACAGCATGGGAAGTCTGTAATCACGATGTGAGCACAATGATCTTGTCCAACTGCTGTTCCCCAGGGACTGGTATTCAAAGACATGCACCTTCTGATCTTGGAGGTTTGAATACCGTCATCATGACGAGTAGCACTTGTCAGCCACACCCTCCACAAATTTGTCTTCCCCCCTCCCCTTTAAAGTCAAACGTTTTGACAAACTTGATGTCACTTTTGTAACATTAACTGGTAGAAGCAGCACTTGGGGGTACATGGCTTCCTCCAAAGAATTCTGGGAACTGTAGTTTTGCCACTCACTACAGTTCCCAGGGTTCTTTAGAGGAAGCCATGTTCTTTAAACATACAGTGTGGGTGTCATCCATGACTCACAACATGGTCGTTCTGTTCGTAGAATCCTAGCACTGGTGGGGTTTCATAGGCCATCAAGGCTGGGTACACGCCACATATTTCAAGCACATGACTTTCCCCCAAAGAATTCTGGGCACTGTAGTTTAAGTGCCACAGAACTATGGTTCCCAGAAAGTACCCTTAACTAACTATATCTTTTGCACAAAGGTGGAAGATGCTGCAGCTATCATTATGGTACGAGAACATTTGGAATGCATAGGTACTGGCTCTCTGGGCACCCGAGAACCCACAAAATTTCCCATGAAGGGGCCGGACATCCACAAATTTTGGTGCCAGGGCCATGCACGCTGCATGGCACCCACAGCCCCAGGCAGCAACAGTCATGGGGCCAAGTTGGCACTCCTGTTGGAATCTGGCAATTGCTGGGGAGAAATGATGTATAATTTGAGGGTCTCCAATCAACTGGAAAATCCATTTCTATGTCATATGGTGGAGGCCTTTATTTCTTACACTATTTCAAAATATCTTCATAACACTCTGCCTCTTTTAATGTGTGAAATATGGGCATCTTTAAGACTCTTTTTTTGAGTTCTACTCCCCATTGCTGCAGCTAGGGGTACTAGACCTCTAGGGTTGAGCTGGAGTCTTCAGGTTTGCTTTCCCTCCTCCAAGTCACAGGTGGAGAGCACAAATCACCAGGTCAGTGAAAGCGAAGAAGAAGAAGAAGAAGAAGAAGAAGAAGACACTGCATCCTGCCCCCCTCCCTTCCCTCCTTCCCTCTCGCAATTAAGCTTCATCTTTGCAAATGGTCTCAGTGACTGTGGTTAATGTTTAATGACATCATAGGGGTCACCACATGACATCACCAATGGGACACCTCTGCAAATAGAACCTTTTATGTGCATTGTACAAATGTGACACTAGATGGTGATGGTGAGCTTATGGGAAATTCAATATATATATTTAAACATTTTTTAAAAAAGCGTTTTCACAGCGTATATATATATATATATATATATATTCAGACTAGGTCTCAGGTTTGGGCTCTGAAATCTCAGGGTCTAGGACGTTCCTGACCTGATAAACCCTGCCATAGCCCTATGTGTTGATACTACCTGAGCTATCAAACATGCCATTATTTCTGGTCTATTGTTGTATTGTACTGTTTATATATAGCAGAATCTGGAGGCCTGTACATTGAGTGGAAACGCCGCTGTCTATTCCTAACTTAAAGGCAGGTCCAGATACTTGGAAACCTGGTTTTGACATGCTTGCATTTTATAGAAAGATATAGAAGTGGAAAAGACCTTACCAAGTAGATTGAACCAATACATGGTGCAATCTGGACCCACGCAGATAGTCCAGAGGCCACTGTGAACCAGGCCTTTTTTGGTACTTTGCAGTACCCAGTAGGGAGTACTCAGGGAAATAAACTCCAACAGCAAGCTTCCAGCAGAGCAGATGGCGCTGCTGATCCTCAGCGGTTCCATCAAGAGATCGAGGCGTGCTAGCATTCTTAAGGACATCGTGGAAGTGGGCCTGCTGCATGGAGGACAAGAGAGGAAACATTACCATCAGGGAAGTGGAAAGGTGCAAGGCGAAAGAAAGGGGCAGTTGGGCATGGCTGGGGCAGAAGGTAGATAAGGAGCGATGGATACATTTTTGGGTGAGTTTGAGTAGATCAGTAGGGATTTCCCTTTCCCAACACAGCAAGGACTATAGAACTCCACCCACCCACCCACCCTGCAATTTAGGTTGCTGAAAAAAGAACTATTGGGGGGAAACCAGGGATTCAGCTACATTAGTCAGAAAACAGAGATTTCATTGTGTTATAAACATGCAGCACCAGATGGCGCCGGAGAGCACAAAATGTTTCTACAGTTGGTACCTTGGTTCTCAAATGCTTTGTTACTCAAACAACTTGGAAACCAAACACTGCAAACCCGGAAGTATGTGTTCTGGTTTGGGAACTTTTTCCAGAAGCCGAATGCAGTCCATTTTGAGTGCCACACTTCCGTTTTGAGTGTTACGCTGAGGTCTGTCTGTGTTCGCTATTTATTTTGCATTTTTGCTGCTCTTTTTGTTTCGTTTTTGTGATGGTGGAACCCAGTTCAGCTACTAATGGATTGAATGTGTGACTGCAGTACATTGCGTATTGCTTTTATTTTATGGATCAATGGTTTTGTTAGATAGTAAAATCCGTGTTAAATTGCTGTTTTGGGGTTGTTTTTAAAAGTCTGGAACGGATGAATCCATTTTACATTCTATGAGAAAGCGTGCCTTGGTTTTGGAACACTTTGGTTTTGGAGCAGACTTGCGGAACGGATTAAGTTTGAGAACCAAAGGTACCACTGTATAGCGTTTCTATAGGCTGTTTTTCTTTGGTTATAATGATTTAATTTTTCAGTTATTTATAGCAATTCCCCTCTCCCCCCCCCCCCGTGTGTAGTTCAGGCACCCCCAAACTTGGCCCTCCAGATGTTTTGGGACTACAACTCCCATCATCCCTAGCTAACAGGACCAGTGGTCAGGGATGATAGGAATTGTAGTTCCAAAACATCTGAAGGACTGAGTTTGGGGGTGCCTGGTGTAGATCCACCCCAGGACCTCTGACCTTGCTCTTGTCTTTCAATTTCATCATGCCTTTTGAATGAAATTGGGCAACACTTGTTGGGGGCACAATATCTCACCCGTATGGCACCCTCTGCGCAATAGGATCTCAGCCTCACCTTTGTGCCATTTTTCGCTGTCCTTTGTGATGAGGATGAGATGGAGAAACATCTACTTCTTCTGAAATTCATCTGGTTGCCTAGGCGACTCGGGTGCTCCAGACGCTTCCAATCCATGTGAATTCTGACCAATCAGATTCTTGGGGCTTTCCATCCTCAAAGATTCTAGCCAATCGGTTCCATATTGTCCAGCAACAGGAAAGGTTGTTGTTGTTATTTTGTAATTTTGTGGAGAAAACCTTACATCTTTCCATACAATTTTGCATCCTTACATGAAGCAGAATCCAGCCTAATTCATGGTGCTGCTAAAATAGGACAGCATTATAAGTTTCACCTGGCTTTTGTTTTAATCCATGGGTAATTGATTTCTAGATTCCAGTTTATCCAGGTGGGCACTTAGGCATCACTCAAAAAGAGGACAATTGAGACGACAGATTTGCATGACATTTGCTTATCCTGGCAGGAGGCCCTGTTGCTGGACACTGAAGCGTCTGTTGACCTCCTGTGCTGGGTTTGTCCCAAGGCACTTAAGCACTCACACAAGCAGGGTGTGGACCCTCTCCTCTACATACCAGAATAGTTTCTGTTCCTCTTTGCCCACACCCTGACCTTCTCAGTGGGGCTGAAGGTCCAGGATACCTTCCTCAGTGAGTGGGGGCGTCAAGGTGCTGTTTTGTGTGGGGCTGCTATTGATACACTTGGCTCTGGGCTCCTCGGGGAGGGGAAAACTATGCAACTGTACAGGACTAGTAGAGACCCTGGAGAAGTATCTCAGTACCCTGGCTCACTTCCTGTGAAGAAGACGCATTCATGGATGAGGTGCATGATGTGCCCGTCTCAGGCTGTAACTTGGAAAGTGAATGCAGAACCCAGCTGAATGAGCAGTAGGCCCCTCAGCATGGATTTCAGTACGGACCAGAGCTCCCATCGCAAAGGCCATCTCTGATCCATCTTTGATGCACTGGAGGGTATACGTGGAATGTTGATGAGGATCCCAGAAGCCATACACCTACATTTACCACCCCCCAGATCATAGCTGAGACACCCCTCCATCCACCCCACCCCACCCCAAGGAGAAGCGAGAGAAGGTCCCCATTCATATATGGGAGTGGCCCTCTGAGTATGCGCAGCTTCGGCTGGAAGTGTCAATAAAAAAAGGAAGTATCATTTTCGCAAACAGCAGACACCTGACCAATGAATGCTGCCTGCAAATCTGCTGTCAGGACTGCCGATGGACTGTGTCTGTGACCACGGCATTGCGCGCGAGAGAGACTGTAACTTAAAGTGTGCCGTTATAGCTGTTGCTTTAACGATTGTATATAGTTGCTACCATAATGCTTTTGTGACCGGTCAAGTAATAAAACTCTTGACCAAGATTTCACGGCGTCGGTGAGTGTTTCATCTCTAAGAGTGAAATATACTTGGAGCCGAGAGTGGATTTAATGCTTTTTATTCAGCTCACAGTGGTAAGGAGGAATGAATGTTCCCCCAAAATATCTGCTTTATATACATTATTTACATAATGGGCTACATGTGATTGGCTAATTCCGGGATTCTCCTGTAGGCCAATTAGGCTGTGGATTCACTTCCATCTGGAGCTAGATTGGGTGGCTCCTGCGGACCAATCATAATGCTGCATTGTTCTAGGACCAATCAGACTGCTGCATTTTGGATCCTATTGTTCTAGGACCAATCCGACTGCTGCATTTTGGATCCTATTCAATTCAGTACATAACAAAGAGTAACTTCAGTTGCTGACCCCTGCTTTCCAGAAAACTCTGCTAAACAGTTGAAAGCATTTAACGAGGTACCTTCACACGAGTATTTTCGAGCAGAGAAAGTGTGATGGGCGGTGGCCTTTTAATACAAACACTGTAGAAAGGAAGGCTTCCTTCTGTGTAGAGACGTGGTTCTGAACAAGGGCACAGGGGAGCCAAGCCTTACATGATCAAACATGGTACACAATGCCTTGAAGTGCTGAAGAGATGCCAGGGCTCAATACTTCCTCATCTGGAAGCCCTTCTCCTTAAGCCCTGGTGTGTGGCTGTGCATGAGTTAATAGCAGGCAGGGCCGGACCACCCATTAGACAAGGCCAGGCGACTGCCTCGGGCGGCACGATTCACAGGGGCACCAGATCCCAATGTAGATCTTTATTCCCCACTTGTTCATGATGTAGAGCTCCACTTACCGCTCCTTCCCTGGCCAGGAATGTGGCTGTCATTCTGTGGTGTGCTTCAGGTGCCAAAATGTATTGGGCGGGCAAAAGCAGCAGGGAAGGAGATCCCATCCTCCCTACTTTCTTATCCAAGGTAGCTGGTCAGTTGCAGAATACCAGCAGAGAGTTGGGCAAAACCAAAGCTATGGTTTAATGCTGGGGTGCTGATTTGGAGTCTACTAACATTCTCTGGTTCATGGGGTCACGAAGAGTCGGACATGACTAAACAACTAAACAACAACAACAACATTCTGAGGGCCACAACTCATATCATCTGATGGTTGGCAGTGCTGACTGAGGAAGATGGAAACTGGAGTCCAACGGCATCTGCAGAGCTCCAGGTTAGCCACCCCTAGTTTAACATGGTAGGGTAACCAACACCATAGTTCATGAATAACCACCAAACCAGGATATGAAACTATGCTTCACAGTTGGTTTGCAAATCATAGTTTGGGCAAACTGTTGTTTCACTTTCTGAACCAATAAACCATGGTTTGGGAGCATTTCTTCACTTACAAATTATTCTGATTAGGAGAACATTCAGGGACTCTCAGGGAAGGCAGGTGATGGAAGCCATACAAGCTTTTGCAACCCTATACATATGCAACAGGGACAGGTGGTGCTGTGGGTTAAACCACAGAGCCTAGGACTTGCCGATCAGAAGGTCGGCGGTTCAAATCCCCGCGACGGGATGAGCTCCCGTTGCTCGGTCCCTGCTCCTGCCAACCTAGCAGTTCGAAAGAACGTCAAAGTGCAAGTGGATAAATAGGTACCGCTCTGGCGGGAAGGTAAACAGCTTTTTCCATGTGCTGCTCTGGTTCTCCAGAAGCGGCTTAGTCATGCTGGCCACATGACCTGGAAGCTGTACGCTGGCTCCCTTGGCCAGTAAAGCGAGATGAGCACCGCAACCCCAGAGTCGGTCACAACTGGACCTAATGGTCAGGGGTCCCTTTACCTTTACCTTTACCTTTACATATGCAACAGAAATAATGGTTTGTGATCAAAATAATGGTTAGTGGAAATGATGGTTTGGCAATATCACTTAAACCTGAAGCTCTGAAAGTAGCAGGACTTCCTCACTTCTGCTATATGACATGGCATCACTAAGCTAGGAAGCTGAAGACAATAATGACAACAGTTTGGACCAGAGTTACCAGTGTTTTTTTTAATGGATCAAGGCTTTCAGCAGCTCCACAATGTGCACTGAAGCTCTTCTTTGACTGCTTTGCTTCCATCCCAGGAAAAGCCCCTTATCCAAACATTTCTTGTGCATCACCATGCAGTAAGCCTTACAACAACCCTGTAAGGTAGGCCAGTGTCATTATTTCCGTATTGCAGGCATTGAGGTTGAGTCATCCAGTGAGTGCATGGCTGGGCTGAAATCTGAACCATGGGATTCCAGCTGAGCTTCTTTGCCTCAAATGGTTAGCATTTCTTAAAGAGCCATTTCTCTTTTTTTCACACAGCACCATTCTCTACCTCTCACACGTCAGTTCTTTAAACAATGCAAAGCCAAGGTGGGTGCCGAAATCCTAGCGGTTCACAGCCAGTTGCTGGCATTTGTGCATCTTGTAGGCACACATGTAAAATATACCTGCACATTGGAGGAGAGAGAAAAGAAGGTGCAATAATATAATATAATATAATATAATATAATATAATATAATATAATATAATATAATATAATATAATATAATATATAAATAATATAGCAGTTGGTTAGAGCATGGTGCTGATTATGCCAAGGTTGCAGGTTTGATCCCCGTACGGGGAAGCAGCATATTTCTGTAACACAGGGAGTTGATCATCTTCAAGGTCCCTTCCAACTCTACAATTTTATAATTCTGTAATGCATTTCCCATTGGACGCAACATAGCAGAATCCTAGCAAAAGTCAATGCAAAACTAGCATGACAAAGTGAACTGAACTTCATTTATTTATCCATCAAATTTATATCCCATCTTTCTCTTGCAAGCACTTCCAAAAGTGTATTGATTCAAACACATGCACATAAAGCAAATCAAGTGATAAAAATATAGAAACAGTGCAATGCTAATGGGTTCCACGGGATTTAAAAAGTGAGAGTTCCACCCCCACAACCCAGGGAGTCCTGGGAACCAACCAGGACCCTGTGACCATCTTCTGAGGCCCTTCTTTATGTGCCTCCTCCACAAAAGGTCCAGAGGGGAGCAACACAAGAACAGGGCCTTTTCTGCAGTGGCTCCCTGATTGTGGAACGTTCTTCCTGGGGAGGCTCACCTGGCACCTTCATTACATATCTTTAGGAGCCAGGCAAAAATGTTTCTCCTTTCCCAGGCCTTTGGCTAATTGAATAACCTATGGCCTTTTAAAGTGTGTGTGTGTTGGGGGTTATTGTTTTCGTTTGTGACTATGTAATGTTCTTCTATGTTTTTAATGTTGTGAACCACCCTGTGATCCTCGGAATGAGACATTCCTTTTGTACTCATGCATTTCTCTCCCTCCCCCCCCCCCCCGCAAACATCATCACCTGCAAAGAAAGTCATCAGGAGGGCAACCCAGCCCAAGATGTAAGACCAGGAGAAACGCCACTCGCCAAATCGCTTGCCAAGGAAGTTGACCGTGACCCCGGTGTAGATCCCCATCGCCAGAAGGACAAAGAGCGCTGTGACACGGGAAGAAGAGAGGAGGGAGGGAAGAAGAGTTAACGTGATGAGCAGATGAACCAACAACAAGAATATGAAAAGAGTCCTGTTGGATCACGCCAAAGGTCCATCTAGTCCACAGAGGGGCCAGCCAGATACTCAATGGAATTTCGTAAGCAGGATCTGAGTGCAACAGGGCTCTCTTCCAACTTGCAGTTCCCAGTGGCTGGCAATCATTCATTCATTCATTCCCCAGCTTTCTTCCAAGGAGCTCAAGGTGACATAACATACTTCTCCTCCCCTCCCTCAATTTTATCCTCACAACGACCCTGCGAGGTTGGTTAAGGTGAGAGCGAGTGACTGTCCCAAGTTCACCCAGTGGGCTTCATGGCTGAGCAGGGATTGGCACCCTGGTCTTCCCAGGTCCCGGTCCAGCAAACTCCAACCATGACACTACTCTGGCTCTTAAAGAGGCATCTCCTGTCTCGGGTCCTATAAATATTAGATATATAGACATATATGCAATGTATGTCTATATGAGCTATCTGTTCACGTGTTGCAAGAGTTGCCGTATCTTCTATCCATTGATTAAAGGGTGGGGCATAGATTGATCTTTCCCGTGGATCAATATGAGTCTTTCAGCCGTAGTTTGGGCACAAAGAATGCATTTACGCTGACCAGTTCCAGTGCATTTATTTTTAAAACATAGTAGATTATAAAGAAATGTATATATATTTACAACATATATTTCACTTGATATACCGTTGTTTTAGGCAAACATGTGTGGAATTATGGTGGCTGGTTTTAAATCTTATTCTTTTGTATTTTTTTATGCATTTTGTTTCCTTTTGCATTTTTGTTTCCTGTTTTTCGCATTTTTGTTTCCTTTTTTATTTTTTCACTTAATGTTGTTTAATTGAAATATTTTCATTCATTAATAGATATATATACACACACACAGAGGGAGAGAGAGAGAGAGAGAGAGAGAGAGAGAGAGAGAGAGAGCTTTTTCTGGGGGTATGCAGGGGTACGCGTACCCCTAAACAATCTGTGAATCTAAGTTTGGCCTCATTCAGGGGTAGTATTTCAATATGAGTAGGAAAATGAGAGTACCCCTAAACATTTTTTTAGAAAAAAAGCACTGTGTGTGTATACACACATCTACATACATAATGTGTGTGCATATATCTTTGTTTGAAATTTCCCCCTTTCCTCCTTCTCCACCCCCACCCCATCCTATCTTGGGAGCCCAGGTGTGGCACCTGGGCCCTCACCTGAATACTCCTGTGTTTTTGCATCTGAAATCACAGCATCTGCCTCTAGGCATCTGCGCTGCTTCGAGTTGTGCAGCTTTGAGAAAGAGCTCAACCTGTGCGAGAATCATAGAATCATAGAGTTGGAAGAGACCACAAGGGCCATCGAGTCCAACCCCCTGCCAAGCAGGAAACACCGTCAGAGCACTCCTGACATATGGTTGTCAAGCCTCTGCTTTAAGACCTCCAAAGAAGGAGACTCCACCACACTCCTTGGCAGCAAATTCCACTGAGAGAAGAGGTACTTACTGGAAACGAAGAACAGGACGCCGGCCGCAAAGGATCTGTTGAAGCGCTGGAAAGTGGAGAATTGGGCAAAGGAAAAGATGCCAGTGATGATGCCAGCGAAGCAAGAGAGAGCAGAGAGGATCATGAAGGCCCGGGTGGCATTCCAGTAGGCTGCAGGGAATAAGACTGAGAGAAGAGAGAGCTACTGAATACTATGCCTAGCTAAATGCAGAATAGGGTGAGCAGAATAGGAATGGCCGACAGAAATATTTTGAATAATTATTTAATTTCTATACCATCCTTTCATTTGAGGATCACAGGGCAGTTTAGAATATAAAAACACACAAATACATTACATAGTAATAAACAAACAAAAACCCAACACAGAGAGTTTAAAAGGCCATAGATTATTCAATTAGCCAAAGGTCTGGGAATAGAGGAATGTTTTTGTTGCCTGGCACATATATGTGAAGAAGGCACCAGGCGAGCCTCCCTGGGGAGCGCATTCCTCAAATAGGGAGCCCCCACAGAAAAGGCCCATTCTTGCATTGTCACCCTCCACACCTGTCGTGGAGAAGGCACCTAGACAAGTGCCTCCATTTATGATTGCAGGGTCCGGGTAGGTTCATACGGAGAGAGGCAGTCCTTGTGTTACTGCAGTCCTGAGCCATTTATGGCTTTATAGGTAAAAACCACTGCTTTGAACTGGGTCCAGAAACCAATAGGCAGCCAGTGCAGTTGGGTCAGGATCCGCATTATATGCTCAAACCATCTTGCCCCAGGGAGCACCCTGGCCAGTGAATTCTGCAGCTGAAGATCCCAAACTGTCTTCAGGGGCAGCCCCATGCATTGCAGCAATCTAGCCTAGAGGTTATGGTGCACTGAATGGCCATGGCTGGACCCCTCAAGTACAAATTTTGCACCCCCAAGTACTAGTACGTTTTACACCCCCAAGTGCTAGGAGAGGGGGTGCCACCATCTGGGGCTGCCTGGTTGGTGTTGACCCATGACACAGCCTTTTCCCCTGCCAGCTCCCCAGTTGTGGAATGCCCTCGCTGGCATTCCCTCCCATCATTAAATTTCAGGAGGAATTTGAACACATTCTTGTTCACCCAGGGCATTTAGTGTCTAATTTGTCTAATCCTCTTTCAAAGCCGTCCAAATCGGGGGCCACCACTGCATCCTGTGGCGGTGAGTTCCATAGTTAAATTATGTGCTGCCTGGTTAACGTAGGTCCAACCCTGAGCAGAGCTTAGCTTGTGAAATCAGCAGATCATCGCCACTGAGCTTCTTCAATGTGCGACAGAGGTCCATGTGGGATGTGAAACACAAGGGCAGTCAAGTACAACATTCCTAGAGTGAACATGTTTACACATGGGGAGGAATGTTTGTCCAGCAAGCAGGTAAACTTCCTGTTTCCTTCTGGGCTGGGACAGACTTCCTCTGCATGTGACTAGAGGTGGGCGTGGCCTCACCTGTGCAGGTAACAACAAAAGCACAGGGCAGGGCAGCCATCTCTCTCTCTATGACTACTTTCATCGAAGAAGCAACATCTGCTTAGCCAAAGATGCTCTCTTGGCCTCCAGCCGAGAGAGGACAAAGGGACTGTCTCCTTATGAGATAGTTTCCAGGTGTATGTAACTTTTCTAAGCTAAGTCTGCCTTCTGGGATCTGTGAACAGAATGTGAGTGAGTAAACTCTTTTTATACTTTTATAGAAGACTGTGTCGTGTCTTATCTTTTATAAGGGAATAAGGGGGAAATACCAGGACACTTATTATAGAGGCTTTAGTGAGCCTGAAATAACACATCCGCTGTGAATTTAAAAGGGGGAATGTTACTCTGCTAAATTGTGAACTTGTTTACACAAGTTGGAAAGGCTATAATCAAACAATATATCCTCTCCTGCATCCCTGAACATTCCCACAGTCCACACACACACACAGGCTCCAAGCTGTCTCTTACCAATGCTCTCCAGCTGCATGTAGCACTTGCCAGGGAAGCAGTATCTCCAGAGTCCCTGGTGAGCAAAGGCACCTGCCAATCGGTATTGCATCCAGTAGTCTGTCACCGTCGACACCACCAGGAGGATGTTCCCCAGAGAGGCACAGAACAAGCCCCCACCCATGAAACTGTACATCCTCGTCCCAATTCTGAGAGCAGCAGCTGGAAGGAATAAGAGTGTGGCTTAGCGATTAGAAGGCGGCAAAATCTGGGTTGCTGTTGGAAAGGCCAATGTGGTGTAGCGGTTAGAGCAGGCATACCCAAACTCGGCCCTTCAGATGTTTTGGGACTACAATTCCCATCATCCCTGACCACTGGTCCTGTTAACTAGGGATGATGGGAGTTGTAGTCCCAAAACATCTGGAGGGCCAAGTTTGGGGGTGCCTGGGTTAGATTGCTGGGCTAGGACCTGGGAGACCAGGGTTCAAATCCCAGCTTAGCCATGAACCCTTGGGAAAATTGAGATAGAAATGCAGAAAATATATAAGCAAGGGGGCAGGGGTGAGAAATTGCAGCTAGGAATGATGCAAGAGATGTTCGGGGGGGGAGGTGGAAGATGTAGAATTGTAGCGTTGGAAGGGACCCCAAAGGCCATCTAGTCCAAACTCCCCCCCCCAAAAAAAAAATGCAAGACTCTCAGCTAAAGCATCCATGACCGATGGCCATCCAACTTCTGCTTTAAAACCTCCAGGAAATGAAAGTCAACCACCTCTAGAGGGAGATTGTTCCACTGCCGAACAGCTCTTATTGTCAGGAAGTTTTTCCTGATGTTTACTTGGAATCTCCTTTCTTGTCGATTGAAGCCATCGGTTCCAGTCCTACCTTCCAGAGCAAAAGAAAACAAGTGTGTTCCTTCTTCTATGTGACAGCCCTTGAGAGATTTGAAGATGGCTATCACATCTCCCAGTCTCCTCTTGATCATCTTGGTTGCCCTCCTCTGCATGTTTGTCAACATCCTTCTTAAATTCTGGTGCCCAGAATGGGACATAGTACCCCAGGTGTGGTCTGACCAAGGCAGAATAGAGTGGGACTCTTACTTCCCTTGAACAGGACACTATATTTCTGCTGATGCAGCCTGGAATAGCGTTAGCTTTCTTTGCTGCTGCATCACACTGTTGGCGCATGGCGTGCTCTGGTCCATAGGGTCACAAAGAGTCAGACACAACTAAACAACAACAAATGACTCGTGTTGACTTGAGGGGTTGACAATCAAAGCATCAACACAACTGGGAACTGAGGACTGGGGGAAATTGTGGAAAGTAGATTTGAAATTTACAGATTGTTCTCTTTTGAAAGAAAACTATATGAAAATGATGTACAGATGGTATATCACACCAGTACAGAGAGCAAAAATGTATAAAACCGGGTCAAACATATGTTGGAAACTACCCTAAGGAGTCTCAAAGCGGCTAACATTCTCCTTTCCCTTCCTCCCCCACAACAAACACTCTGAGGTGAGTGGGGCTGCGAGAAGTGTGCCTAGCCCAAGGTCACCCAGCAGCTGCATGTGGAGGAGCAGGGAAGTGAACCTGGTTCGCCAGATTACGAGTCCACCACTCTTAACCGCTACACCACACTGGCTCCCCACATGGGGTTGCAAAGTCCCCAGTTTGGGGTAGGTTGTGTTCTGTATATTCAACAACCCCACACCTCTGCCCCAGCCACACGTATCCTGTGGGTGGTCTCAGCATCCACCCCTTTTGCCTACCTGCAGACCCCGGGAGCCTCTTTCCTTGCCGCTCGTCTCTCTCGTCTTAGCTGAGCCGTGCCCCTTTTTTCAAAACACCTCCGACAGCTACATGTGGCTGACTCGGCCCAAACGTCTCCAGCGCCTTACTGAAAATGACCAATGATGGGGAGGCGGGGTGGGAGCGGAGGATACAGATGACGAGAGATGCTGTTGGTTCGAGAAGAGAAATGTGCACAGGCAGCAAACTCCTTTCTGGCACTCTGAATGCAGTGAAACCTGCTGACTCTCCAGCTCTGGGACCAGGGCAGGAGCTGCAGGAAGGCCTCAGGGTCAGAGACCCCGTGAGGATTGCCTTGCAGAGTGGAAATAAAAGGGGATTTAAGCCACTAGCCTGCATTTGACCCCCTTACATTTAGGAACTGCGCAGCGGAAGATGAAGAGGCGTTCACACATTATTTCCTTCAGCCTGCTAGCAGTTTTTCACATCGGGAATGTATAGTGTCCATGGTATTTTTCTGAGCAGAAGACAATGCTAGTCCCACTCAGAGAAGACCTATCAAAATGAATAAACACAGTTCATCTGGGTCCATTAATTTCAACAGGTTTGCTCCAAGTAGAACTTAGCTTGCTACAACCAATGGTCCCCTGATGAATGAAAAGCTGAAATTAAGATTGTGAAAGAGGAGAAAACAAAATTGACAAGAGCTGCCAAGCCCTAGAGATGCATCATAGGGTGAGGTAGTAGGTCTCCATTTTCCCCTCATGAATTCAAGGTGCCAAATGGGCTACAGGAACGTCCACCAAACAGAATATACAGTGGTACCTCTGGTTACAGATGCTTCAGGTTACAGACTCCGCTAACCCAGAAATAGTACCTCGGGTTAAGAACTTTGCTTCAGGATGAGAACAGAAATCACGCAGCAGCAGCAGGAGGCCCCATTAGCTAAAGTGATACCTCAGGTTAAGAACAGTTTCAGGTTAGGAACGGACCTCCAGAACAAATAAAGTTCTTAACCCAAGGTACCACTGTATCTTCCATGTAAAAGATCAATTTTAGTTATTTTACTGATTCCCCCACTCCTCCGGCTAGCACATTAACTATCATCTTTAATGTGTTTCCTGCTGCTATTTTTTTACACTTTTTGTTAAGACTGCCTGTTGGGTGTATTGAATTTCAAAATTTGCTTTGTAACAGCTTAATTTGATGAAGATTATAATTATCTATATGCTGCCCATCTGACCGGGTTGCCCCAGCCATTCTTGGTGGCTTTCAACAAAATAGTATAAGCACACACACACAAACACCCTGACATAAAAAACTTTCCTCCACGGGGCTGCCTTCAGGTGTCTCCTAAAAGTCAGCTGTTTATTTCCTTGACACCTGATGGGAGGGCCATGCTAAGCTTTTGTTAGGTTGCTGGAGCATAGGAATACTGAATATAAACAAAGTAGAGGCATGTCATGGATGCTTTAGTTGAGATTCTTGCATTGCGGGGGTTGGACTCCACAATTCTATCATTCTGTGAGACCAGTACTTAATTATTTCAAGATGTAGTGCTGCGATGGGTCACAAGGGGGAACTAGCGGGTTATATTTCACGGGAACAGCCACTGCAAACAAACCCTCTCAAATCAGGGCAGAGTATGCAATACCTTTCAGTCTGGCTCCTGTGTGCTTCCTGCTGCTGCCTGTTCAATCCTGTGTACATGTCACTTTGCCTATGATGCAGAGCCATCCTGTCCTTGAGAAATTCTGCCATTTCCGTCAAAGCAAGCTTCAAGCCAAAAGAAAAACTTAAGCCACTTTCACTTTACACTTAAGCTGAATTGCATTTGAAACAGCCATTTCCCATGATTTGTATTTTGTGTGCGTGTGTGTGCACAGGGACAGGAAAGTCAAGCAGGTAACACACATTGGTAAAGAAATCTGGTGTGTGTGCAACAGCGTGAAAATGTGACTTGAAACGTGGCAGAGAGCGACCTGTGTTTTAAGCTGCTAATGCGTACGTAGCCCAAGATTATGGGACGCGGGTGGCGCTGTGGTCTAAACCACTGAGCCTTGGGGGCTTGCTGATCAGAAGGTCGGCGGTTCAAATCCCATTGCTTGGTCCCAGCTCTTGCCAATCTAGTAGTTTGAAAGCATGCCAGTGCAAGTAGATAAATAGGTACTGCTGCGGCGGGAAGGTAAACGGTGTTTCATTGCACCAGAAGCAGTTTAGTCATGCTGGCCACATGACCCAGAAAGCTGTCTGCAGACAAATGCCAGCTCCCTTAGCCTGAAAGCGAGATGAGCGCCGCAAACCCCCGTCACCTTTGACTGGACTTAACTGTCCAGGGGTCCTTTACATATTTTTACCTTTAACCCAATGGTCTCTCCATCCCAGCCCCCATTTATAGAGTATGGATGGGGGAGAAATTAATTTCCACTCAGTTAAAATGTGTGTGTGGAAACTGTAGAGAAGCAGATTCTGAGAAACCAGAGCGGCCTGACCGTGGAACTGTCAGGATGCGACTCGGCTTGCATCAAAGACTGATATGTCTGCATGGGAAAGAAGAGATCGAGAGGAACCTCCCTGTTTCCTAGACTGCCTTTTAACCTGTGCTAACCTTCCTTCAAGATGCAGGTGGCACTGTGGTCTAAACCACTGAGCCTCTTGGGCTTGCCAATCAGAAGGTCGGCAGTTCGAATCCCCGCGACGGGGTGAGCTCCCGTTGCTCGGTCCCTGCTCCTGCCCACCTAGCAGTTCAAAAGCATGTCAAAGTGCAAGTAAATAAATAGGTACCGCTCCGGCGGGAAGGTAAACAGTGCTGGCCACATGACTCAGCTGTACGGCGGCTCCCTCGGCCTATAGAGTGAGATGAGCACCACAACCCCAGAGTCATCCGCGACTGGACCTAACGGTCAGGGGTACCTTTACCTTTCCTTCAGATTAGATAGTTTCAGGACTGCAGGCCTCAATTCCTACTTGCTTCTTCTCCAGGCCTTCCTCATGAGAGGCAGGTATCTGTTTTGGATCTCTTGCCTGCTGAGATGCAACAGCAAACCTAGCCTTTTAGCTTTCTTATCCACGCTAAAGCCTGTTTCTCCAGCAGAGACCGAGTATTCAGTTCAGCTTTTGCCAGCGTTTTAACTCCAAAACCAAGAGGAACAAACTGCCTTGGGAGATGGTAGATGCTCTTTCAATGGAGATTATTTAAGCAAAGGTTCAGTAGGCACTCGTATCAGGTGGTGGTGCTGTAGTTGCAATATTCAGTTACTGAACACGGGTGGCTTTCTCTCCCTCCAAATAACCATGAGACTCTTAAAATCCTGATTTATATCCCAGCTTCCCTCCAAGGAATTCCACGAGGGGCAGATGCACACACAGCAGCTTTAAATTCTTACAGCAAAACAGTTGAGATTCTTGAGCTGCAGAGGGTTGGACTGAATGACCCTTGGGGTCCCTTCCAACTCCACAATTTTATTATTTTCACCTTCAATAGTTGCTCTAACTAAAATGACGCTGTTTCCAAGGTGGCAGGCACAGAGCTTGGAGAATAGAAATGCTCAGAAGGGCTTCTTCATTTTGGCAGAAGCCAAAATGTTTTGCTGCAAGCATTTCAAATTTCTGTTTCGTTAAGTAACTGTAATAACATACTGTTTTAGTGATTAATTGCACTCTACCGGGATGCAGAACAAACTTGTCCCAACTGCTGTCTGATACTGTCATGACTATCCACGCAGTGGCTCATTTTTGTTTTAAGTGAGAGAAACGTGGGAAGTTGCACCCAATTTGAAGTGATATGCAAGTCAGCCTAAAACAAAGGTCAAGATACACAAAATAGAGAACTTTTTGTGCAAAAAGGAAAATGAATTCATCTACTTCAGTCAGAAGATTGGGAAAAAATTTGCCTAACATAAAGCAGCTCAGTTGGTTGTCATTCTAGAGTGAATGTTTTGAATAATGTATTTTATGTAACTGTCTGGTAGAAAATCCGATGTCCTTTTTATTTTCATTTTCTTCTCTTTTTTGTGGTTTTCCTTTGGTGTTTTCTCTTTTTCTCTGTTGTTTTTTTAAGATCAGTTTCTTTTATCTTACTGCATTATGAAAAAGCTTTAGTAAAATCTTATTTTTTAAAAAACAAAAACCTTTTGAAAGTGTTGTCTAGCCACCCACAGCCTAAGTCAAGAGTGTGCCATGTATAAACATAAATCAACATAATGTTGCTCCTGGAGAGAATTGTACAGAATAAAAAAGCATGGCTGACCCCATCTAAACTCTGGTTCTCTTTAAAAACAAAACAAATAAAACCTTGGCTTCCACTCCTGATCTTCTCAAGTGAGGAATCCCTGATAATCTTCCCAGATGCCTCGGAACTCATGTTAAGAAAGCAACTGGTTTGAACAAGTAACTACTCAGAAATAAATCCAAGATTTCAATGGGCTCAACTCCTGTCAGTGTGTATCCGAATATAGCCCTGGTGTTCTCACTCATGAGTTTCCATTCCAATGTTTTAAAAATGGTATCCCTTGCCAAGCTCACTTACAGAGGGAGGCGAGTGATAGATTGACATCTGCTTTATTGAAAGAAAAAGAAAAAACCAGACATGCTGCTCTAAAGTGTGTTAACTTCCTCTTTATTCCAACAAATTCAGGAAAAACCTCATGCAACTGAAACAAACAGACATAGTAATCTATGCAGCTTGAAAGGGTGAGAAGGCTGAACCAACAGAAATTGAACTATTTGGAAGCAATGATGTGATCTAAATCACAAACTCACCAGAGGCATTTATCTCAGGCTTTCCAAAGTAACCCAGGTTCACTATACAAGATATATACTGATTTTTCAAAACAAAACCTTCCTAGAAAACCCCAACATAACCCTTAAGTGTTTTTAGACTGCTAGTTTAATGCACCTAGCCATGGTACTAAGTTACCTTCACCATCTTAGAGCAGATACACTTCTGCAGAGAAATCGGGCGAATTCTTGGGATGATGCTAACTGAAAAGGCAGGTGAGGAACTGCATGTTTGAATGCTTCTTTTGCATTACATAAACCTCCCTACCTCTTAAAAACTGGTATGTTAGAGAGAAGACTGGGTTAGACTCTTCTATTTAATATGCAGGACTTGTTTTCCAACAGGAAGGGTTTTAGTTTTTACAAAGGGAAGTTATTCACGCGTAGGATCCCCCTATCTGGAGTCTGGAACGGCACAGTCTCAGAATTATGAGATTTATCTGCATATAGACTCGCCCTCTGATTTTTTTCCCCATTCTTGATTTCTAAATCAAAACTTTGCAATGCTGATTGTCTGCAAAACAGCAGATTCCCTTCTATATAACAGTTACTAAATCAGCAAAGTTCCCTTTGCTTTCTTCTTTCTTTGTAGCTTGCTCTTACGTTAAATGCAAACAGAACCAAAACCTTAACGCTTTGTAGTTAAGATGAACTGAACAGCTGCAACCCAGTCAAAAATGTAAAGTTGTGGCAAAATTCCGCCCTGGACCGCTGAGGCTCCCATTGCAGTTATTTAGTCTTCAATGGGATGCAAATTATGCTGTCCATTAGCTGCATTGCTGGGCTTTTCCTAACAGAATCTGACTACAATGTCAGAGTTGCAGTTCATGTTACAACTGCAAGGGGAATTGCAATGCAAAATGGTACCTCTGCTGCAAGTCACACCCACGCAATGGGCAGATCCTCATCATATATATTTGATGCACACCCAACTCAAGTTTTAGGTCAGTGTTTTGCAAACTTGGGTCTCCAGCTGTTTTTGGACTACAACTCCCATCATCCCTGACCCCAAGCAAGAGATGATGGGAGTTGTAGTCCAAAAGTAGCTGGAGACCCAAGTTTGGCCAACACTGTTTTAGGCAATGAGTTTCCCCCCAAAGAATCATGGGAACTGTAGTTTAAAGACGGTGCAGACTATAGCTCCGTGAAGGAAAAACTGCTATTCCCATGATTCTTTGGATGGGGGCGTCATATGCTTTAAATGTGCACTGGGTGTACTTCAGATGCAGTGGTGCAGACCTGCCCAAGCTGTTAATGGCTGGACACATTTGCCCTGTAAATTCCACAAATGGGGCAGGAGGACAAGCTCACTAGGGTCTGCCCACCTCCAACAGTTCTCGGGGAGTTTCAGGGGGCTACTGTGTGAAGTGGGGCTCACTCCAATAGGGTCCCTGCACAAATACGAAAGTCCGATTTCCCAGGGTTCTTGCTACTTCGCAGCTGCCCTTGAACTTAAAGTGGGCAATAATGGATCTTGGGAACAGATTGCCTGTGCTCCTCTCAGCACTCCAAGTCATACCCAACAGGGGACTCACCGAAATTAATAGACGTGGCCACCTTAGACTCATTAATTCCAGTGTGTCCACTTTTGAGTAGAAGTTTGAGTACAACACCCATGATGGGTGTGGAATTCCCAGTTTGCAATACCACCTGAATTAAGGCCACTGGTGGCCACCATGCTGTCAATCAGGATTTCTGGCACTCAACTTCTTCCTCTGCCCCCTTTCCCCAGATTACTGTGTGCTTTGCTCAGCTCCCTCAAGGAAAGCCAGCTACATTCTCTCGGGACTGCTCCTCCTCATCCAGTGTCAGGGGATCAACAGCTGTGCCCACGGCGAGATCTGCGTCGCCTTCGGAGCTGGACTTCTCCGGCACATCAGAATAAAGGTTCTTCAAGTAGGTAGCAAACCTGTCTTCCTTGCTGCTCCAATCCGCAGCACATTCCTTCCCCCTGGCATCTGATGTTCCCTGGTTCATCACATCAGACCTTGGAAGGGGAGAAACAGAGAGCTCTGGTTTGGGTGGGTGGGCAGATGTAACACATTCACCTTCCGCATCATCGCTTACTTTGCAAGAGTCGGCTTTGTCATCCTGGTGGGAAGCATCCGGAGCACCCTCTGTAGCAGCAGGGACTGCTGGCTCACTCTCATACTCGGCCTCCCAGTCTTCCCCATCCTCCAGAGCTGTGGACTTGGCCGGTCCAGCATCCACAGCCTTGCCTACAAAAGTAGCAGAATCCCCAGTGCCTTGGGTTTTCTGCCACTCACGGGCGCCAAACATACATCTTTTCGCTTCTGGGGCATCCTGCGCATTCTGCCAACGGCTCCCTTCCTGGTTCCTTTTCATGCTGCTAGTGCTGGACCCAAAAGAAGACCCTCCTCTCCTCCCCCCTTGTGGCCCTGAGTTCCAAGAGCTTGATTCGACAGCGCCTTGCCTCCGGCTGCCCCAAGCCCTGTCAAAATCCTGCCGCTTGTCTTGCCAACGACCCCCATTCCCATGCTCTCCTTCTCCCCCTCCTCTTTGGTTCCCCCTCCAGCCTGTGTGGGCCTGGGCTCTCTTCCAACCCCCTGCTGCGTGTGGCTGGCTGTGGTCAGACCTGCTGCTCCCACCATTTCTTTCGGCAGCGCTGTTCCAATGGCGCCCGTAGTTTTGTTGCTCTAGGACTCCGCCGTTTGGCCCTCTGTGGCCGCCGTATCCTCCAGGAGCCGCTCCGCTAGGCTGTTGCTGCCCGCTGGCGCAGCCTGGCACACAACAGCAAGCCGACCGGCGGCAGCAGCTCACGGTGCACTGAGCAGGTGGCTCGTGACATGTGGAGAACGAGGCCTGAGTGCCATCATGAATGGGTGCTGGAGGAGGGAGGCACTGTGCCCCTCTGGCAGCGTTAATGAGGACATAGAGGATGTCCAAGCGTACGGGCACCGTGAGGGAAAGGAGGCTGCTTGGTGCGCAAGTGCGGCCCAGGAAGAAAGGCTGGAGGCTGCCGGAGAGCCCCGAAGAGGTGGGCTCATTGGAGGATGAAGTAGATGACACCAGAACTGGCCTTCTCTCTGGCGAGCGGCTAGTCACTCTGTCGTCAGCCATGAGGTCTGCCTGTGTGATGCCAGCAATGGTTGCAGGTATGTAGAAACTGCAAAGGATGAAACAAGAAGCCAAGTTTAGGGACCTCCCCTTATTTGCTAGAGCAAGTAATTTTATGAGCAGGAATCCCAATTCTCTGGCCTCTGTTCTCTGAAGGGCAGAGACCATGAGACAGAGGTTGCTAACCCCCAGTTTGGGGTCTGATTCAGGCCCATTAAGCAAATTCTTCTGCCCACCTCATGCTGAAGATGGTAGGAGAATAGTTTCGGCGGTGGGAGGATAAGAAGAAGAGTTTGGATTTGAGATCCCGCTTTATCACTACCTGAAGGAGTCTCAAAGCGGCTAACAATCTCCTTTCCCTTCCTCCCCCACAACAAACACTCTGAGGTGAGTGGGGCTGAGAGACTTCAAAGAAGCCCAAGGTCACCCAACAGCTGCATGTGGAGGAGCGGGGAAGTGAACCTCGTTCACCAGATTACGAGTCCACCACTCTTTACTACATCACACTGGTGTAAAAAGGGTAAAGAAGTACTGGACAGGAGCCTGTCATCTTAATGGGGAAACAAATCTTTGACCTGCCAGTCCTCACATTGACCAGAAATAGGATGATAGCCTCTCAGTCCCCAAATAGGTTAGACGCCCATCCTGCAAAGACAACTTGAGAGTAAGTCCCAAAGAGCTCAATGGGACTTATTCCTGAGTAAACATGTCAAGGAGTTCAGTGTAAACGTCGCTCTACCTCCAAAGACAACTCACCCCAATATGAAGCTCAGGTTGCTAGGAAATCATGTTTAACTCCCCTGCATGCAGAAAACAAGAATAAGCAGGCCACCAGGCTCTCCAACTCCACAATATCTGTGTTAAAGGAGGCAAAAGATTGAGTTGGCAAAGATGGGAAAGTTTTTGATTTTTTATTTTTTTTAATACATTCAGATACCACCAAGTTAATTTTTTAAAAAACTGTATTTTATCATTTATTTCAACAATTTGTATGCTGCTGAATCACAGTAGTCTCTAAGTGGTGTATGTAGCAAGAGACACACTTGCATATGAGGTGCGTGTGTCCACAAAACATTTTTATCCCGTTGGAACTAATGGCATAGAAACCAACCCATGCAATAATTAGTAAAGAAAACGCCTTTAGGCATGCACTGAGCGTCTTTCCTCTTGGGTTTGCACGCAGCCCACGCAGAAGAGGGGGTGGGGGAAGGAGAGGGTCCTAGAGAACAGTAACTTTGCAAGCTACTTTGAACCTTAGCAGCCCCACCCCGCCTCCTTACAGTGCATTCCCACGCCTGCGACTATTCCCAAAATGCCTACGTGCAAAAGGCCTTTCTTTCCTTACAAGCAGCCGCTGGGCTGCTGGAGCAAAGTGTCTGGGAAGAGCCGTGCAGGCATCAAATTTGCTGGCTTGCAGAGGAAAGGGGCTCGGGTCAGACAGGGGCACAGAAGTGTTGCTCTGCATATTTCGATAAAAGGTTTTTAAAACGGATGTTTCCCTCCCCCCCGAAGAGCCTCTGCTTGGGGACACAAACCCACCCAGGGCGCCTTCCTCCCATGCACCCGGCTGCGACCGGTTCCCGCGCTTTACCTGCAATCCGCTTCGCTGTCTCGCGCCCAACAGCAACTCCTGCTGCACGAGGACCCGGGCAAAAGAACGCCCAGGCATGCGCAGTTGCTCCCGCTGAAGGGCGGCTCCCAGAGACTTCATTTCTATACATAGAGGGGGAAGACCAATTGGAGCGCTGGAATTGGCCTACGGGGGTGGGGCCTAGAAACTTAGAAGAAGGGGCGGAGCTTCAAGAGGCAAAGCGCGAAAACGGGGAAGGTAGCATACTTATTATTATCATCATTGATACTCTAGTGGTGCTAACAGTGTTTATTATTAGTATTAACAATGCTGCTAGGATAGCGTTACTACTAGTATACGAGTGTAGTAGCATTAAAAATATACTAGCAGTACTTCTAGTATAATACTACTAGCAGTGCATAATATATTAACATTTGTAATACTCAGTGCTTTTTTTCTTTAAAAAATGTTTAGGGATACTCTTATTTTGACTCAAGAGAAGCACCATTTTATAGCTCAAATCGGGAAAAATAAATACAGTAAATGGACAAAAGTACAGATATTCACAAAATGTTTAGGGGTATGCATTCCCCCAGGAAAAAAAAGTACAGGTTTCCAAATAAATGGTAGAGAGTGTAAATAACTTTCTGTGGACAGCTAGTGTAGGGGTTAGAGAGTTCAAACCCTGCCTCTCCACATTACTTGGTTAATTATGCATATATATTTAGGAGTCTGATCCATTAAATTCAGCGGTTCTTACTCCAAAGTGCGTAGAGGATTGCTCAGAAGTAAGCCCCATTGAGCTCCACAGCCCCAATTAAGCATGTCCTTGGGACTGAATCCTGTGAAATCCTGTATCAATTTATCTAGAAGTCCCATTGAACTGAATGGGACTTGCTTCTGAATAGACAAGCATAGGATGATGCTGTAAGTCACCATCTTTTTGCACTCTTATGTGTACATTGGGGGGGTGGAGTTAATATGGGGATGTAAGTGAGGTTTATTTTAAGCTCTGACCTATCCCCCACAAGCAGCCAGAATACTGCCCATCCCCAAAATGAATGAAAGGAAATGAAAGAGGGAAGAGAAAATAAGAATTACGGTAACACAGAAAGAGGCAGGAAAGAAGAAGAAAAACATCAGAGGAAGAAGACTTGAAATTTGGGGAAATGAGAAAGACAATGGGGGAGCAAGAAAAAGCAAGGTTTCATTGAAAAGAATGCGGTAGTAAGGGGATTCACCCTACCGCAGTTTCTTGGGCAAAGAGATTATTTTCCTTTCTTAACCTGCAGTTTGGCACCAAGACTCCCTTCCTGCTCAAAACATAACTATACAGCTGAGCCCCCACCCCAAATCCTATTTTTTTGTGACTAGGATTTGTAGTCTGTTACAAAATGACTATTCTCCCTGTAAAATACATTGGGAAATGGGGGAGGGGGGACGGAGAGATCTTTGCACCATGGCCCCGATCCTTTTAATTCATTGCATTAGGGTAGGGAGGGTTTGCTTCATGCCTTCGACGAGAGGGGAGGGAATTACTGTACTTACTCAGAACTAATGCTCCCTTTTTTTCCTTTCTTGCCAAATTACATTGCGAAAATTAAGGTGTGCATTAGATTCGATGGCACATTTACATTTGCCAGCAACTACTGTTGGCGCTGTGGGTTAAACCACAGACTTGCCGATCAGAAGGTCGGCGGTTCGAATCCCCGTGACAGGTTGAGCTCCCGTTGCTCGGTCCCTGCTCCTGCCAACCTAGCAGTTTGAAAGCATGTCAAAGTGCAAGTAGATAAATAGGTACCGCTCCGGTGGGAAGGTAAACAGCGTTTCCATGCGCTGCTCTGGTTCGCCAGAAGCGGCTTAGTCATGCTGGCCACATGACCCGGAAGCTGTACGCCGGCTCCCTTGGCCAATAAAGCGAGATGAGCGCCGCAATCCCAGAGTCGGTCACGACTGGACCTAATGGTCAGGGGTCCCTTTACCTTTACTGTTTTTGGTTTCAAGGTTCTGAAAACTGAGCTGTGTATTAGATTCGATGGTGCGTTAGACTCAAGAAAATCCTGTAATTTGCACAAGCAAACACGGACACAGTTTGCACAGCGAGGAGGTCTGACGTGCGTAAAGTATTACCGTATACCAAGTTAATACCAGTGATATCCTCCGCTCTCCCGCTTTAGCCAGCTCCCCACCCGGTTCCCGCCTGCCTTGTTACTTATCAAACAGTCCAGGAGGTGGCACTGCCCACCAGGATTCCTAGAATTAGCTGTTTCTGCCTACATACAGTGCATTCAAAGCACGTCCAAGGCACATGTCTTCCCCCAAAGAAAGCTGGAAACAGTCATTTAAGGGTGCTGGGAATGGTAGCCCTGTGAGGAGGAAAATACAGTTCCCAGGAAATTCATGTATTGAATGTATGGAGTGGATTCCCCTATGGCTCCATCTTCACTTTCTGCTGAGCACCCCCCCTCCACCCCACTAGTCCTAATGATTACCAGGCCTCACTGGCTGGTGACTGTATTCTGTAGACATGTTTAAGACTTTGTGCATCTGATTATGTGGAATCTAGACCATAAAAGCACCTCGCCAAAATTAATCCCTTAGGCTTTAAGACTTTCTCCTGCGACAGACTATCTGTCCGGAAACTGAGGAGGAGGAGGCTATTTATGCACAGGCTTTGCCCAAACCAATGCTGTTCTGCCCTCAAAGGGTTCAGTTATTTCATGATAGCAAAACAGTTTACAGTCATACCTCGGGTTACAGCTGCTTCAGGTTGCATTTTTTTGGGTTGCGGACCGCCGAAACCCAGAAGTACCAGAACGGGTTACTTCCAGGTTTTGGCGGTCACGCATGCGCAGAAGCGCTAAATCGCAGGTTGCGAACGTTGCGGGTTGCGAATGTGCATCCCACACAGATCACGTTCGCAATCCGAGCGTCCACTGTATTAGTAGTAAGTGGCAGGAATAACAATGCTGCGCCTTTAAGAAATGATAGTGCCTTTCCCCACCCTTTTAGCCTGGATGGAGCACAGGGAAGAGAGTGCATGTATAAGCTTCCATGTGTTGCTCCACCCACTTTTGCCCCCGGCTCCACCCACCACTGCCCTGTGACTCTTGGATGGTTGATCAGAAGGGGATGTGGTTGTGGCGCTCATACAGAGCCCCTAGTCGTTTCACGGACTATTGACCTGTACACCACTACTTTATTCTTCTGCTGCCACCAATTTTGTGGGGGGGGGGGGAAACCCAGGGCTCCCCAGTGAAGTACAGTGGTACCTCAGGTTACATACACTTCAGGTTACAGACACTTCAGGTTACAGACTCCGCTAACCCAGAAATAGTACCTCGGGTTAAGAACTTTGCTTTAGGATGAGAACAGAAATCGTGCTCCGGCGCCGTCGCGGCAGCAGGAGGCCCCATTAGCTAAAGTGGTGCTTCAGGTTAAGAACAGTTTCAGGTTAAGAACAGACCTCCAGAACAAATTAAGTACTTAACCCGAGGTACCACTGTACTGAGTCTCAGTCAGGTAGAGTTAACAATGAAGTTTAAAGTTTATTTCAAACACAAACAAGTTTTAAAATATTCGAAACGCTGTCACTCTATTCCCTCTCAGTCTTGTTCCTGTCTCTAACTCCCTTTGACTCCTCTATCTCCCCTCCCAAAAGAACCAACGGAGCTAACTGTCAAAACCTGTGGGCTGAGCCTCAAAATCAGGTAGACTCCGCCTCTGGGCTTTCTTATTGGTCCACCTATTAACCCTTTCTCTCCCCCAATACAAACATATCCCTGAAGAATGGACGAACGCCACAGTGGTCCTCAGGGTAAAAGAAGCTCCCAGCCCCTGCTTGGGCTGAAGGATGGGGTCACAGCGTCCTTCCGCCTTTGCTTCTGCAGTGTTTTCTCAGGAAGCAAGCTCCTTTTCGCAGCTTCCCCTTCTCCAGTTGATCAATAGGACCAATGAGGTCTCCCCCTTGCCTTAAATGTTATTCCTGGGAGGCAGTGGGTGCAGGCTCCCAGTGGCCCTTGGTCCCCTCTCTGACCACAGAGGCCCAGATGTGCCCATCCATGGTGATGCAAGAGACGTCTTCCCAAGAGCAGCTGCTAGCACAGAGCACAAACAAATAAACTGACCTAGTATAAAGACAGCTTCCTGTGACCCAGGGGCTGAGTAGGGTAGGGAGATTTCCCCATGCAGAAAAAGCTGTGGGTAGGCTGAGGTGCCCATCCAGAGGTCCTTTATATTGTGCGTCCACAGATGCGCAGTTGGCATCCGTCTGTCTCCGGGAGACATTGGAAGATTGCGCCTTCAGGGTTGAAGTCAAACAGTTGGAGAATTACAGCGCCTGCTGTGGCTGTAGATACAGGAGAGACATGTTCTATTGCAGGTAGGGCAGACAAAGGCACCCACAAGGATTTGTGCTAATGTTGGGGCACATGATCCTGATCTTAGGACTGTTTGCACCTTCAAACATTTCAGGGCTTCATTTCTAATCACTTACACGCCCTGTAGTAGCTTCCTGTTGGAAGTTCAGTAACTTTTCATACCTAACAACCCCTGGGGGAATGTTGCGCTATAGAGCAAGAACAAGGTAACACTAATGAGGCATCGCAGAACAACGGCAGAATGATGTGTGGACGGTCCAGTACAAATCTACCACTAATGCCCTAATATTGCATCCGCAACCTGTTGCAGAATACACCCGTTGAGATGGTGTCCTTTGGCCTCCCAGTAGATGCCTCCATTTGCAGGACAGGTGAAGCCAAGTAGACATCACGGGGTCCCATTTTCTCTTGCTTTCTCCTCCCCCAGGAGGACAGTGATCTGTTTCTTCAGTAGCTCCGCTCTTTCCCGAGCTTCCTGGCTGGCTCCCGGATCTTCTGTTTCCTCCAGAACTTCCAGAACAGAACGCAAGGCGTCAGCGTTCTTGACTGACTCCATCTGTTCCTGGTCCGCTTTGATCTCTTCCACCCAGTCCAAATATGCCTGCAGCAGCCCCATGTCGGACAGGAAACTGCTTATGATCTTGAGCTCCGGCTTTCTGCGACTCAACTCGGAGAGGACTTCTCTCCCGGCTTTGCTCAGGCGGTTCCCCACAATGCTGAGAAAAGAAGACAGGTGTTATAAAGGTACACTGGGGGGGAAATGTGGATAGACATGGGGTTGGGTCCAAGCTATGTTAGGCCACATGCACACTATACATTGAAAGTGTTATGATGCCGCTTTAAACAGTCACGACTCCCCCCTGCACCAAAGAATCATGGGAACTGTAGTTTGTTGAGGGAGCTGAGAGTTGTTAGGAGCCCCCTTTCCTCCCACGGAGCTACAGTTCCCAGAATAGGTTAACAATCAATCCTTCTTCCTAGGGAACTCTGGGAATAGTAGCTCTGTGAGGGCATTGGGGTCTCCTAACAACTAATTTAGTGTAATTAACTCAGCCAGGATGCAACCCATGATCGACATAGACCTTGTAACAGGAGAGCATGTAGATCGATTTCTCTCTCACACACGCGCGCGCACACACACACACACACACACATGCCCAAGAAACAAGTGAGGAGGGTTTTAGGGCGAAAAATACAAGGGGAGCACTCCCTCAGAACCACACAGCCAGAAAATGTACTACCTCAGCAAAGGTCATGCCATTCTGACTTGTTGCTAAAGCAACACCCCCACCAGTCTCCCTCTTGGATAGTTAACTTTAACAGAATTAACCCTTAAGCTCCAAACTGAACGATCCCTGCTGTTTCACTTCCAACAGCTCGACTCCCATCCAAACCCCCAGGAAGCATGGCCAGTGGTCAGGGATTATTTGAGTCATAGTCCAGCAAACATCTGGAAGGCCACAAGTGTCCCACCCACCTCTGACTTAATGGCTTTCCCTTCCTCCTCACTGCAGCTCAACTGAGGAAATTCATTCCCCACATCTAAAATTATATAGTAATTTTATTTACAAATGCAGTGGAAAGGAAAACCAAATCTGATAAGTATATCTATGCATGCACACTTTAAATATTTAAATTTGGGGGAGGGAAAAACTATACTGATGATTACATATTCTGCAAAACACACTATAGAAACTGCAGCACTTGTTGGATTAAGAAAATAAAAATTGTAGAAATTTATGAAGGTATTATCTGGGGTGTGTTTGTTTGTGTGTGTGTGTGTGTGTGTGTGTGTGTGTGTGTAAAAATTCCTAGATGTATACAACAGTATTCCTTATTCCTCTTGCATAGCACTGCGTTGTATTTCCTCTGTGTTTGGATCTTTGCAAAAATGTGATCGCCTCTAATCAATTATACCTCCTGCCAAAATTCTATTCTGGTAGGCTTGTGATTTCATTTCCAGAAGTTTGCAAAATATTATAATGCAATATCATCAGAGCATACTTACGTCAAGAGCCTGAGCGTTCTGTTGCCCATCAAGGAATCCATAATATTATCTAAGCCGCTATCTGTGATTCCTGTGATATCCAGATAGAGCTCTTCGAGGGTGGTGTTCTCCTGGAGGGCATCCCATAAACCCCTCACCCCTTCAGAGCCCAGGCAGTTCCCACAAAACCTTAAAAAAATGGTGGGGGTAGAGAGAGAAGTTTAACTTAAAGCAAAGAGGAACTCCCATAATCAGTGGAATTCAAACGAACACATTGTGAATTCCTGTACAGGAAAACCCCAGTTCCAAATTATCCCATCAGAATGAATGAATCAAAACACACCCTTCCTGGGAATTAGGATTTTACTTCCATAGAGCTGAAACTGGCTAGAGGGTCACGAGGTCTGAACTCCCAGTTAAAGGCAGAATCCTATGGAATCTAAGCAGTGGGCCATCTCAAGGAGGAGGCAGGGATATTATACAAAAGCAAAGAGCTTCAGAGAACTAAAGCTGTTTAGAGAACTCGAGCAAATAAACCAAGCCACATGCTGCAGTTGAGCTGTCTTAATTTACTAGGATTCTATGGACTAGAACCACAATGATAAGAGATATAGATGAAACCTTTGCCATACATTGGAAGCACACGGCTTTCGGCAAAGAATCCTGGGAACCGTAGCTTACTCCTCACTGAGCGGCAATTCCCAGCACCTTAAACAAACTATGCTTCCCAGGACTCTTTGGGGAAGGCCATTTCCTTTAAATGCATGATGTGGATATGACCATAAAACAAGGACCACCTCATCCCATATGAACTGACCCTGTAATCGTGATCTGAGGCCCTTCTTCATGTGCCTCCTCCACGGGAGGTCCAGAGGGTGGCAACACTACAATGGGCCTTTTCAGTGGTGGCTCCCTATTTGAGAAATGCTCTCCCCAGGAAGGCTCACCAGGCACCATCGTTACTTATCTTTAGGTACCAGGCAAAATCATTTATTTGCCACCAGGTCTTTGGCTTTTACTTATCTGTGACCTTCTTTCAGTGTGGTGCATTGTTGTTTTTAAGTAGAGTTACCATACGTCCCGGACATTTTGTGGGGGTTTTTCCAAAAAACTCAACAGCTTGGGATAATTCCCCAAAAAAGCAGCTTTGGGAATTTTTTTAAAAGGAGGGTCAACAATTTGTTTTTGTCCAGATTTTCGCTGCTTGAAATATGGCAACCCTATCCTAAGTCACTTTGAGTCACTTAAAAAAAAAAAAGCACCAAAGTTTTATTATTAATAATAATAATACCATACTTTTCTGTGTATAAGACTAGGTGTTTTTTCTTTAAAAATTATGGTAAAAAGTGGGGGTCATCTTATACATGGAATGGAGCATAGGGAAGATGTATGATTGGTTGCTGCCGCTGCTGTCAGCAGCTATTGTGCATGTTATTGGTTGCTGCATCAATGACTGGTTTGATTTGCTGACGGTGTGGCAATTGGGCGGGTGATTGGCAGCTTCTGCCGATGATGGGACAGACGGATTTTGCAACAACTCTGGTCAATCCTCTGCCAAAAAAAAAAAGTTCAACAACTCTGTGCCATCTGCCCCCATTTTCTTACATTTGAGTCCCCCAAGGTAGGGGTTGTCTTATGCATGGGGGCGTCTTATACATGGAAAAATACGGTAATTGTGTCACTGGGAGTGATGTCAAGACTTCCGTAGGTTATATTACACACATACACAGAAGGTGACTCACAGAAGTCTTTTCACCTGGCATCTTGGGGACCTGAGTATTTCAGCTTCTATGGCTGCCGCCTCACAGTCCAGAGAATTGTACCGCAACCTGGAAAACAGGAGATTGCAGGTGAGAGCTGAGCACATGGTACAGACCAAAGGTGGACAAACTACCCCAGAAGGAACATGGGGTGTCCCCCACCAGAAGTACTACCCCTCCCCTAACACTCCAAAGAGGTCTGAATACGTAGCACAGACTAATTTTACTGTTTTCCTCCGCTTGTAAACCGCTTTGAGTTTGCAAGCGGTGCATGGAATTTATCTAAATAACTAAATTCAACGACATCCAAATCTGTTCCTGCCCCTTTAAACACTAAGGGCATATGTAAGTTGCAGACTTAAAATGGATTTTTAAAAGACATCTGGAGGCAAGCCCAGTTCAGGGAAGTTTTTAGTATTTGATGTTGTATTCTGTTTTTATTTTTTAAAAAAATTGTTGGGAGTCACGCAGAGTGGCTGGGGCAACCCAGGCAGATGGGTTGCATATAAATATGTTGTTATTATTAGTTATTACCATTATTCCCTCTGCATACAGAGCACTGTGGGAGTTGAACTTCTGTGGCTTGGCCTTGGGGTCTCTTACAGGCTATTCACAGTACCCTTGCCAAACTATCCCAAGAATTCCTGGGAGAGACATGATGCAAGTTTGCATTGGACACCTGACCTGAATGCCACTGCTTGCCCATATTCATAGCAGGGCATAGGATGCTGGAATCCTGCAGCCACTGCCTACAGCATATGGCCAAGGCCTAGGACACTGCCAACCAGGTACTCACTGGAGAGTCTCACACCGATGGAGAAGCCCCCGGAGTCGCCTCAGCCCCCCGATGCCCATGTTGCTGTAGCTCAAGTTGAGGTTCCGTAGCCTCTTATGCTCCGAGCAGCCCAAGACGTAGGCCAGGGCTGCACAGTCAGCTGGGTTCAAGGTCACCTTGAACAGATCCACTTCATCCAGGTTGGAAGCCACCTTCTGCGTCACCCAGTCCTGGTGGAGCTCCGCCAGGCAATGCAGCAAGGAGAGCAGCTTCCGGTCTGATTCGTACTGAGCTTTCTTCCCCAGCCACTCTGCCAAAGGCACAAGGGGATCCTTTGTTAGGCCCCCAGCCAAGCTCTCCAGCTTCCCCTGCATCCTGGAGCTCAAGAGGCCCATGAAGAACCTGGAGAACATCTGCAGGTTGTCCCACTGTTGGCCTCCGCTCAGGAACTCTCTAGTGTAGCCGAGAAGTCCAGCCACAGCACGTCCATCTGGTGGGGGCAGAAGTCTCTCGGCCTGTCCACCTTCTGGAGCTTCTCCATCCCACCAGAGATCCAGGCAAGAAGTTAACTCCTCAGTACTGGGGTCCAAGATAGCCACCGAGTACAATGCAGCTAAGAACTCCTGTATGGTCAAGTGGAAGAAGCCGTAGACCTCATCTTTCTCCTTGAAGAAGATCCGGTTCAAGAAAGTGCCGGGCAGGTTCTCCGGGTCGAAGCCGAAACCCCGCAGCTCGTCTGCGTAGAAGACAACCTTCCCCCTCAGCAGACCAGCATAGGCCAGCTTGCCAAGCTGCAGCACCAAGTCTTTGGCTTTTTCCAAGGCGCCGCCGGCTCCCCCTGTTCGTCGCAGCCGGAGGATGGTGCTCAAATACTGGCGGTAGACCTCGGTGATGGTGCTTGGTGGAGAGGCCTCCATCTCCCCTGTCCATGGGAAGAATTCCCCCAGCGCTGTGCAGAGAATGAAGCAGTAGAGGGGAATGAAGCTGAGGCTGGCTAAGCCCTCGTGGGCAGATACGTAACCAAGCACATCGGCAGCTCGTGACGGGTTACGGAAGAAGCGGAAGAAGTAGTCCTTTACCTGCTGCTCTTGGAAGCCAAGGATAATGACATGGCGGTCAAAGAGGTCCTCTGGAAGGGCAACAGAAGGCCTCGACGTGACCACAATGGTGGCCTCAGGTAGCAAAGTCCCATAGAGGAGGCCGTGCACCAGATCTTTGATGTGAGCCGGCTGGTCCGATTGGAAACAGGGATTCTTGCTGTCGAGGGAGTCCCGGAACTCATCCAGGCCATCTAAAATCACCAGAAGTTCCCCAGGCCGATCTAGCAGCTCGGGGAGAACCCCGCTCAGGTGGACGTGCTTGCTGCGGATCAGGTCCTCAAGGCTCTGGGGTGTCCTGATGAGGCTGAGCTCCCGGAAGGAGAAGTCTAGCATGCAAAGGGCCTTTTGGAAGGCCGCGCCCAACGCCCAGTCGTGGATTATCTTCTGGGCCGCAACGCTTTTGCCGATGCCAGCAGCCCCGCTCAGCATCACCCGGCGAGGTGGGGAGCTCTCCTCGGGGAGCGGGGAGAAAAGCTGGCTCAGAGCCAGGCGGCGGGGAGCGTGGAGGGAGTAGAGGCGGGCACGGCGGGAGGCCAGGTGCAAGTAGTCGTGGCTGCTGGAAGCGGAGCGAGGGTTGTCAGACAGCAGCAGGTCGGTGTAGCGGATCTCAATGTGGCCGCAGGTTTCGGTGTCGTCCACGTTGGTGCAAAGCTTCTCCGTGCGGGTCAGCAGGGAGCGGCGGTGGTTCTGCAAAGCAGCTGGCAGGAGGGTAGCAGTTGGAGCAAAAGGTTAGGAGGAGACCCAGAAAAGTACAGCGGATAATCCTGATGGAATGTACAGAGCTGACTATTGTAGGGCAAGGAGATCCATCCCTTGAGTTTGCAGCTCCCGTTTGAAAAAAAAATCTCTCTAGACCCACATCCGTGTGAACCCATCTTTTGCATGCATTTCATACTTTGGGGATCTTTACTGGAGACGCAGAGACTGTTGCAATGGGCAGGATTGTTGCAATGGGCAGACGTCTTAGGCACCATACAGTTAAAGACTCCTGGGAACTGTAGTTGGCTAAGGGTGCTGAGGGAAACCCCTATTCCCCTCTCCCAGAGCTACGATTCCCAGAGTTTCCTGGGAAGAATTATTGAATGTTAAACCACAGTGGGAGTTGTAATTCTGGGAAGGCGATAGGGGTCTCCTAACAACTCTCAGCACCCCTGAACAAACTAAACTTCCGAGGATTCCCTGGGGGAAGTTTAAAGTGGTATAATACTGCTTTAGATGTATGGCCATAAAAACATAGCATTTTATGGCTTTAGATGTGGCCATAAAAACATAGCATTTTTAAAGCTGGAAGGGACCCCTGCTCAGTGTAGGAAACTTGCAGCTAAAGTTTCCTTGGCAGCTGCAAGATTCATGTGCTGAGCAATCCGTCTTTATCCTCGCTGCCTTCCTTAGCATTCATATATGTATTAATTATATTATGCTGCTTATTTAACAAGATTCAGATACTGCTTAATCTAGTGTGAGAATGCCAATGCCTCTTGCTTGCCTGGACAGAGGATGGAAAGGCAGGGAGCTGAGTGGGTAAATCTCTGACCTCTGTAAGGCTGGACTGTAACCTGCCATGCAAAGTTATGAGTTGCCTCTGTTGCCCAGCCCAGTTTTGTCTCTGGCCCCCAAAAGGTTGCCCACAAAGGAATGTGGCCCTCAGTCTGAAAACAATTCCCCACCCTCTTCTGCACTGAAGCCCCTCTTTGTCCTGGTTTCTGCTTGCACATCTTTTCATTGCTGTTTCTCCTCCTCCTCCTCCTCCGTTACCTTTGAGTTGTCGGCTCAGGGCTCTTCGAAACGTCAGGTCGTTGCTCTTTTCCTCATCTGCCATGACAAGAGTACATTTAGTGCATAGGAAACAGGCGCCCTGCAGAGACCTCCAAGCCCAAGAGATTTTGCTGCCCGAGGCAAAGGACAAGATGGCTCCCACATTTCCCATACGGAAGCTGATTGAACTGGCAGGGGAATCTTATTTTGACACTGGGGACTGGACAGTGTCCTCCTGAGGGCAGCAGGGGAGATTTAGGGGCACAGGCAGCCTGGTGTCCAGCTCTTAGCCACTGTTCCCTAGCTCCCATCACTTGCTGCCTGAGGCGATCATCTCACTCTGCCTAACATTAGGGCAGGCCCCAAACTTGCACCAGCCCTGCCTGTCACAAAGCAGCACAAACCAGCAGACTGATGCACTGCTCTTTCTGCAATCATTTCCAAGAGCGCATAAAACTGGAACCATTTCTACCACTTCAGCCCCTTTCCCCATACTGTCAATAGATCTGAGCATCATTTCAAGTGCCACATAATGTTCATCCCACACATGCAAGGAATTGAAGCTTCCATGTAGCAGTAACTACACTTTGGAACTCCTAGCCCATTGATAATAGGCGGGCATCTTCACTGTACTGTTTTTGGAACCTGCTACTAACTTTGTCTAAGCAGAGCTATCCAGGCATGTAAATCTGACACGCCTTTTAATATGTTGGCATTCACCATTGTTGTTTTCAGCCTGCAAATGATATGCAATTGGGGAGGCTCCCCCCTCATTACAGTGGTGTTTCCTTTGCACTGGTGTGAACATTGTGGGAATAATTACGCCATTAATTATGATAAATTTGTAACTTAACATAAATAAGTAAGTACATAAATTACGGTAAACAGCAGATAGCCAACAGATAACATTGTATTTGGCAGAAACCAAACTGAAGCAGAAAGGAAACGGCACAGATTGTGACAAAGGCAGGTCAGAATGAAAATTGCTGCCCCCTTAATATCCCTACTGAAGTGTCGGAACAATATGCTTTTTGCAATGTTCATTTCAGTAGAGCATCAGGAAAGGCAAGCAATGTGTACTGCTGTTAAGCAACAGCTAGGCTTCCCCACACCAGATCCTCAGAAACAGAGAGAGCTACCCCAGCCTGCAACCCACACCACGTCTTCAACCTTCATGATATTCTCTCTCACCCCAACTCACACTCCAAACACACACACACACACACACACACAAACGTCTCTTATATCAGCCCCCTCACTCTAACAGGGGCAGGAATTTGCCAACTCCATAATCCTCTGATGGTTTTCCTACTCCAGATATTCAGAAAGCTGGACCAACTTCTCTCAAACCAGGGGTAGCCAATGTGGTGCCTTCCAGACGGTCAGGACTACAACTCCCATCATCCCTGATCATAAGCCACATTGACTGGGGGCAATGGGAGTTGTAGTCCCAACAACATTTGTGGGGCATTTCATGGGCTATCCCTATCCCAAATGCTAGTTCTCCTCAAGAGGCCTCAACTACCCATCTTGAGCTATGAACCAGCAACCTATCGGAGAACAGAAACTGTTCTTATGTTGAGCCTTCTTGGCACCAAATCTTTTACATGTTAAAGATAACCAGCTTTGAAATCGTGGCCAAAAATAAGTGGACAGCTTGGTGGGGCGATGATGCTCACATGACCTCCTGGTTGAAACATTGCCGCTTACAAGGAGGTAAAGGAGCAAAGAGCAAGATGGCGGCAAGGCCCATGCTATGCGCAGATGCACCAGTGGGAGTGCCAGATCGGCTTTGTCGATGCGTTTATATCGTACTGACCACACCGCGGTCTCGTCCCTCCCCCCCTGCCACCTGGTAAGCAGCGGCAAAGCAACTTGCTGGATGCCAAGTAAGCCCAACTACCCCACCGTCCGCTCAAAGGTACAAATATATACACAGAAGCAAGCCCTCCTATGGAGCAAGGGAGGGATGACTTGCCTGCAGGCACTGCTGGGAGCTTGTATTTCTTCGAATTCCAGAATTTCAGCAAAGCTCGTTTGGGAGTTTTGGGAGGAGGCTCTAGATTGAAACGGGAAAGAGAAGGATTGTGAAGAAAAAGAAGAAGAGGAGGAGGAGGAGTTTGGATTTGATATCCCGCTTTATCACTACCCAAAGGAGTCTCAAAATGGCTAACATTCTCCTTTCTCTTCCTCCCCCACAACAAACACTCTGTGAGGTGAGTGAGGCTGAGAGACTTCAGAGAAGTGTGCCTAGCCCAAGGTCACCCAGCAGCTGCATGTGGAGGAGCGGGGAAGCGAACCCGGTTCACCAGATTGCGAGTCTACCACTCTTAACCACTACACCACACTGGCTCTCAGTGTGAAGGCAAAGCAGTGCGAGAGCAGATGCCCACCGGCAGGTCTACGAACCAGGATACCTTGTGTGTGGAGTGGGGAAACTAGCCCACTATACAGAGGCAAATATTTACACCGGACCCCATCCACCACCGGAACGTGGCCCCCAGAAGCTTGCCAAGAAAGGAATGTGCCCCTTCCCTCCTCACTCCTGCCCTCGAGGCTAGTTGTGTCACTGCCGTGCCTGGCTGCCTTGGAGAAGGTTCTTCTTTTCCTTTCACCGGACAGCTCTTTTCCAGCCAGTGCTGGAGCTCAGGACAGTAGGCCTCCTGCAATTCCCGCAGTGCGTCCAAGAACTTCCGGCTATTCTCTGGCTTGATGCAGACCCTGTCCAGAAGCGCAATGATTTGGTTGCTCTTGGGGTGGGTCTCCAGCAGGGAAAAGTACTCCGACTGGGTCAAGAGCCCGCTGTCATGGAGTAGGCGGAGCAGAGGAGCTGGGTTGGGCTCCACCCAGCGCAGGAGAAGTTCCCGGTGCTCCTGGATGAGCCGAGTGAAGTCCAAGGGAGCAGCCATCTGCAGGGAGAGAAAGAAGAGGGTGAACAGGAGGGCAGTAGGCCAATCCCATTTTGTCACTTGGTTGGAAGAGTGTTCCCTGATTATAGGGAGCAGAAATTCCTCCCCCCTAAAAAAATGCTAATGTATGTAACAACAGCAGCTCGGATTCTTTATGTGCAGAAATGGAAGGAAGAAGTTCCTACCAAAGAAGAATGGATAATGCACTCTGCAGAACTGGCAAAAAATCAACAGCAAAAGATCACCTAATGGTGAGTGTTTTAATGGAAGAATGGATGCCTTTTTTCAGAAATACTATAGTATGATGAACTCGTGAGCAGGATTTGAACTATGAGCAAGAGAAGTTATTAGGTTTATAATATTGTAGTTACGATTTAATAGATAGGGTGCAACGGAAGGGGAAAAACAACAACTCCATGGGAAACGGGGTGGGAAGTTGACAAAAATAAGAGGAAAGAGGAAATTGTGTTTTGATTGCATATGTTTAAAAAGCTGAAACTTAATGAAATATAATTGGGGGGGGAGAACCTTTACATATCTGCCTACATGTCTAATCACGCATATACGTGAACTTATCACTTATCTCAGATGGGCAACTCCAGGCCAGCTCACTCTTAACGTTCTCAGAGACAAGCAGTTTAACCCCAGCGATGCCTTCAGCAGTACATTACTTTGCTTCTGTGGCAAAAGATGGGGCGCTGTGACAAGTCCACCTGATGTTTTCGGACTACAACTCCCATCATCCTTGACCATTGGCCATGCTGGCTGCTGGGAGCTAGAGTCCAGCAACATGTGGAGGCTCACCATCCATGCTCTAAGCCAGCCTTCCCCAACCCAGTGCCCTGCTCCAGATGTTTTGAAATATACCTCGCATCATTCTCATCCTTGGCGCCATCATCTGGAGGCCCACAGTTTCCCCCACCCCTGTGTTTGTCGTGTCCAAACTGCGACTCCATTTGCTTAACCTCTGAGGTCCAGCTTTACTGCTGTTTGAGAGCGTTACCTGCGTAGGCTACAGAGTATGTTTTTGTTGGCATAAGCCACAGCTGGATTAAGAACTATGCCACTACTTGAGTGTACAGCTAGAGAGGCAACCACTGCTGTCTTGAGCATAACTGCAAAGCAGGGCCAGATTTAGGTTTGAGAGGCCCATAGCTACTGAAGGTAATGGGGCCCTTTATATGTCCAGCTGTCCTTTGTCAACAACAAATTGTCGCTGTTTTTTGTGTGGAATATATGCCATTTGCACATGCAGAATGAAGGCACCCTGTTAGGTTGTGGGTGAACATATCAGACGACACAGCGGTTCTTCAAACAGCTCTTGTTTATTCACAGGCCAGAACAGAACTGAACTGAAGGGTTCAGCCAGCCTGCTTATATAGAGCTCCACTACAACGCAACAGTAACAACTTTCTGTAACTATCCAATCACTGAACGTCACTTTCAATTCCTTATTTGCATATGTGGACCTGAGTGAAAACTATCTACAGTATCCCCCTGCTGGTCCAGGGTGAGAACTTCAGTACATAACACACCCTATATATAGAAATGAGCAAACCAGTGATATTTTAGGGAGCAGGCTAGCAGGCGGGGCCCATTACTTGCATCATAGGAGCCTACACAACACAAAACATTGTTGCTGTATGTAGGTTTTATTTTGTTTTTTATCTTATATTTTGGAAATGTACATCCAGTTTTTTTCCCTTTAATTTTTTGGGGGGCCCCCAAGAGAGTGGGGCCCTAAGCTATAGCTTGTTTAGCTTATACGTAAATCCATCACTGCTGCAAAGGCACCAGCTGCTCAAACAACATTGGGAAGAAGCAGGACGAAACTCTGCATTGCAGTGGGCTCGACTAGATGATGCTTGTTGGTCCCAATTCTGTGCATTTCCACATACGTAATTGCTGGAGGTTATTGCAATTGCCAAAGTTGCTTTGAGGCAGACGATTGGTCCATCTAGCTCAGCACTGTCTGCACAGACTGACAGCAGCTCTACAGGATTTCAGACACGGTTCTCTCCCAACCCTATCTGGAGATGCTAGGGATTGAACCCCAGGCCTCCTGCATGCAAGGCAAATACTCCACCACTGAGCTATGAGGTGGCTCTGTCCTCTCTGATGCAAATCACTGCTAGGAAGGGGGGTTTGTGAGCCGCACCAGCATCTGGGGTCCTGCTGGTGCTTGGCCAAAACTGCAAAGGCCAGAAGGAGCTATGGAGTGAGTAGGGGGCTGCTTTGTCCTTATTTGCTGCCAGAGCCTTTTTGCTTCCACCTACTGGCTCAAACAGGGACGTGGGTGGCGCTGTGGTCTAAACCACAGAGCCTAGGGCTTGCCGATCAGAAGTTCGGCGGTTCGAATCCCCGCAACAGGTTGAGCTCCCGTTGTTCAGTCCCATGTCCTACCCACCTAGCAGTTCGAAAGCACATTAAAGTGCAAGTAGATAAATAGGTACCGCTCCAACAGGAAGGCAAACGGTGTTTCCGTGCGCTGCTCTGGTTCGCCAGAAGCAGTTTAGTCATGCTGGCCACATGACCTGGAAGCTGTAGACCGGCTCCCTTGGGCAATAAAGCGAGATGAGCGCTGCAACCCCAGAGTCGTCCACAACTGGACCTAATGGTCAGGGGTCCCTTTACCTTTACTGGCTCAAATGCAAAGTTGTTGCTGCCTCCATATGAATGACACATTTGATGTGTGCCCAAACGTGCTGTGCTGCCACCTACTGGAGGGTTTGCACTGCAACAGCATGGAACACCAAGCCGCTCTCCCCTCCACCTCACTGTTTGTGTCCTTGCATCAGCTGTGACTAAAGCCAGAAAGCATATTCTTCCAAGATGGGGATGAGGAATCTGTGGCCCTGCAGATGCTGCAGGACTGCAACTCGCCCCAGCCCCAGCCAGCATGGCCATCACAAGCCAGGGTGGAAGGAGTTGCAGCTCAGTGACATCTGGAGGACTACAGCTTCCCATCCCTGTTTCAAGGAAGAGGGAAAATGGGGGTGCCGGGAGGTTAAGCTGACAAGGAGAAAATTGTGGCAGGATAGAGGCAGCCATAAAGCAGAGGGCAAGAAAGATGGAGGCAAAATTGCAGAGGGGGAGATTGGCACCAAGGTGCAGCAATGGAGGACAAATGGGGAATTGCACTTTAAAAAGTTGGGATGAATGAATGATGAGTGGGAAGATGTATAAGTAAATTCCTTGCAAGCAGATCAGGAGGAATGCAGGGCCGATGCTCCTTGTCATTTAACCTGCCTGCAAAGAAATCCGAATAGATGCTCAGTAAACACCAGAGGTAATTTAACCTCCACATAACCTTTGTGCAAGCAAGTCAGGATGGCAACTCAACAAAACAGGTCATCTGAAAGGGCCCTCCGTTGTGCTTTTGCTGCAACAAATTTACACAGCTGGAAAATTTGCATTACAATGTAGAATCTCCTCGTCTCTCATCTTTGAAAACAACTGTCTTCCTTACTACTATGTTTGGATTAAAATGTTGGTGGGTTAGCAGGGACCAGGGAAATCATTCTGGGCTCGGATCCAGTTCTTCAGCGGCCAGATAAGCAGCTACTGCTGAGGAAAGGGCCACAACCTGTTAACGCAACAGGATATAGTTCTCCTTTATCACCTTCGTTTCTCAAAGGTAGGTGCTGATAACGGAAGCTATGAACTCGACCTTTCATTTGGGCAGAGTCAGCGATAAGGGGAGCTGGTTGCTGATCAAGCCCAGAGGTTCAGCGAGGGTGTAGAACGTGATATGAATCTGTTGTAAATTAGCGAGTTGAGGTCATGCCTTGTACTCTCCCAGGGCTGCCATCTTTGACCTTGCTCCAGTTCAGGAAAATGAACCCCACTGAACACAATAGGGCATAAGAGCAGATGGAGAATCCTTTTGGAAAGGGCCAGCCAGATGTCCATGGGAAACCTGCAAGCGGAACCTCAGCACAACAGTGGCTCTATGGGCCTGCAATTCGCAGCATCTAGTATTCAGAGACACATTGTCTCTGACAGTCGAGAGAGAGCACAGCCATTCTGGCTACTAACTATTAATAGCCTTGTCGTCCCTGAAATTGTCTAATCCCCTTTCAGAGCCATCCAAGTTGGTGCCCATCATGACAGTGAGTTCCATACTTTAACCATGCACTGCGTGAAAATGCACTTTCATCATTCAGCTTCACTTCCTTATTTCTTTTTAATTTTATTTTATTTTGACAAAGCAATAATCATAAATAAATAAGAATAAAAATGTGCACCCTGCCCCCGAGACCATTCCATTGTAACTATCCAACCTCCCAAAATTTCAGCACCTCTTGCGATGGTTTGACCCCTTTTCGTTTTAACTGTACAAATTCTACAAACACTTTCCGTATCTCCTCAGAATCATTTCTCCTACATATTCCCCACCTTACCTTAATAGCACATGTTAATTTATCATTAGTCGCTATATCCCACACCTCTTTATACCATTCTTCCATTTTATATTCACCTTGCCTCTTCCACTTCCTAGCTATAATAACTTGTGCAGCTGTCAATAAATTGGTGAGGAAGTCCTTCCTAGCCTGCCAACCTTCCGCCCCATTGTAAATTGATAATAATGCTACCTCTGGACTTTTGGCTGGCTTTAACCCAGTGATTTCTGTTATCTCCTTAAACACCTCCCCCCCCCGAACATATTTGCACCGCCACCACATGTGAGCATAAGTCCCGGTTTCCCGGCATCCCCTTCCAACATAACACCAAATATTCCTTGCAGCTTCATTCTGGGTACAGGTACATGCAGAAGGAGATGTCCCTGCTTGCTAGCAATTAGAGGTATTTTGCCATTCTTGCTGTCCTTCCTCCAGCAAGAGATGCTGTATTGGTGTACGCCCCCGGTCTCTCTACTTGGCCCTCAGAACTCTTTGCAGGCCACGCCCCCTCTCACTAGGCCACACCCCTCACTGCCCCTGCTCCACACATCCCTTGAGTGTGGCTGCAATGTTTCCCTGAACTCTGATTATAAGCCACTTGCTTGCTTGCTTGGCTGGTAGATAGAGGGGGGATGTATCAACTAGCCTATTGTACACAACATGAATCAACTGATCTGCCTGCTTTTGCCTCTGGCCCTAACTCACTGGCCCTCCGGCCCCCGGAAAGTTGCCCAGAAAGGAATCCTGACCTGAAAGAGGGTTCCTTTGTAATAGTTGTTTGAGAGGCGGGCAGTCCCATCCCGCGCAAACATCGTTTCATCCTTTGCTGCATACATAAAAGCCATTTCACCCCAAAGAGTCTTAGGAGCTGTAGATTACCTCTCACAGAGCTACAATTCCCAGCACCCTTAAACTACAGTTCCCGGAATATATATATTTTTAAGAGTAATTTAAATGTATGGTGAGGGCGTGGACCAAGCCTGTGGATAAGAGGCACCTGTTGAAAGGCACACAGCCTTTAAAAGGGTATGGAGGGAGCTGTCAAAAAGAAGCGTCCTCTGTATTCTAGCACCACAAACAACAGCGGGGTCGGCAGGGCGGGGGGTGGAGAGAGGAAATTGCTGCCATCTGGGCTTCAGGCGCCTCTGGCTCAAATCCCTTTTCATCCGGGGAGCTCATTGGATGACCTTGACTGGCCTGTATCTCTCCAGCTTAACTACCTCAGGGGGTTATTGGAAGGATAAACAAGATAAGAATTACAAAGCGCGTTGGGACACAAAAAGTGCCAGAGGATTGATTAATAATAATCATAAACTGATAAAAGTTGTGTCAGGAAGAACAGCTGCTTAGCAGACTGCACATTCTTTAGTAGCTTACACTGCAGTTTGTGTGTGCCTGAGAGGCAGGCAAGCTGACAGACAAATCACACCCTCTAAAATGAAGAAGTAAATTTCAGATTTATGTAAGGGGTGGCGAAGGCAAAGCTAAGCTCAGCCTCAAAGCCCTCGTGCTCTTCTTGTGGTCAGCAGATTGCATTGTTCAGTCCATCTGAAGGACTAATGTGAGGCACACCCCATCAGGCAGCGGTTCCCAAATTTTCTACGTTCCCAGCCTAACCTTTGTTTTAATCAATTAATTTCACATTGCCGTGTACATACGTGTTTCGAGGCGATTTCCATTTACCCCATCCAAGCAGCTAAAACGCTTTTCAAAACAGTAGAAAAGCAACAACTGGAAATAAGTTTAAAACCATAAAAAATGGAAATGGATGTCTATCCGGTAACCTGCCTCCCCATCCCAGAATCTAGCAAGCACAACAGAGGTCCTTACCTGTTAGGCAAAGCCGGACAGCCAAATGTTTGCAACCTCGAACACGAGGGAAAGCGATATGCAAGCTTTTTTCTCTGCGTGACTGGCATCTTTAGCACGTTTGCCAATCAATAGTTACTAAGGAGTGGCTCTAGTCAAATATTTACAACAGTTAACTTGTAGAAATGTCCCATTCACCATCACAGGCGATGCGAAAAATACCAGGGCAGAGAAGTGGTTGGAGGACCTGGATATGGCAGGATTTCTGCTTCAGAGGACTTTGAGGGTCCCTAAGTATTGGGCAAGGGACGCGGGTGGCGCTGTGGTCTAAACCACAGAGCCTCTTAGGCTTGCCAATCAGAAGGTCGGCGGTTTGAATCCCCGTGACGACGTGAGCTCCCATTGCTCAGTCCCAGCTCCTGCCAACCTAGCAGTTCAAAAGTATACCAGTGCAAGTAGATAAATAGGTACCACTCCGGTGGGAAGGTAAACGGCGTTTCCGTGCGCTGCTCTGGTTTTGGTGTTCCGTTGCACCAGAAGCGGCTTAGTCATGCTGGCCCTGCATGACCCGGAAAAACTGTCTGCGGACAAACGTCGGCTCGCCCGGCCTGTAAAGTGAGATAAGCGCCGCAACCCTGGAGTCATTTGCAACTGGACTTAACTGTCAGGGGTCCTTTACCTTTTTTTAAAGTATTGATCAAAGCAGGACATTAATTTGTGGTTGGCTATGCTCTACCCCCCCTTCATGGATCACTGCCTTGCCGTGGCGAAGGGGCTTGAATAACTCAGAGAAGCTATGAGCTATGCCATGCAGGGCCACCCAAGATGGACAGGTCGTAGTGGAGAGTTTTGACCAAACGTGATCCACCTGGAGCAGGAACCGGCAAGCCACT